TTGAAATAGCTAACTGCTACCTTTTCCACCTCCTTTTCTCTGGATACCAATACATTGGCGTCATTATGAAGATCGACTATCCTATTAACTGCCTTTCGTTATTTCGTCGAGGCATGGAAAAACTTAGTATTTAAGTTCCCATCCGTTGACCACAGATTCCGATTTTTCTGTTTCCAATATTCCTTCTCATCTCTACATGCTTCCTTTAGTTTGTTTGTTATGTTGATAAGTTTCTCTTAGGTACTTTATCATCATTTTGTACCTCTTCTAACGCCCATTGTAATTTTGTTATCTTTTGCTTTCCATAAAGTTGATTTTTCTTCCTCCAAACAGAGATCTCATGGCGGCAGTTATAAATCATGTCAACCAAATTTGGTGATGCATCACCCCAAATGTTATTCCACCCCTGATCAATAGACTCAAGTAGTCCCTCCAACCACTGTTTATGAAAACGAAATTGTTTTCGTTTCTTTGTTATTTTTTAGTTCAGAGTAGCCAATATTAGCCATGATCAGAGCCAATCATCAGTAAATACTCAACATGGGAAACATGGAACATATCATGCCATTCTTCTGTTGCTAATGTTCTATTTAGTCGGCATCTCGCTATTTTCCCCTTCTTCTTTCCCTCCATAACAGTGTATACAAAAGGGTAATTATTCACGAATCTAAAATTCAAGTCTAATTATTTTTGAACGCTTTTTTATCAAATCTCAGATAACAAGTGTTAAGTGTTTGATTAGTCCCATATCGAAAGTTTGGAAAACTTATAGACATTATATAGTATGAGCCATTCCTCAATTAACTTTGGGAGTAAGTTAAATCTATTACCAATATGATATCCGAGTTTAGATTATAACCTAACTTTCTCGATTGGGCGCATATCCATATTTGTAAACGATATATTAAATGAAATACTAGAATTATGCCCGTATTATAAGTTGGATGAAATGATAAGGAACTAAAATTAACTTAATATGGATATAATTAAAAAAAAATCTAGTTTGATTATATAATGGAGAACCTAAAATTTATTTCCACATACTTGTTTTTACAAGTATATGGCGGTTAAGATGGATATGAGTAAGGCGTATAATCAGTTGGAATGGGACTTTATCGAACATCTATTATGGAAGATGAGATTTGCAAATAGGTGGATCACCTTGATTATGTGGTGCACTAAATTTGTTAAATATAGGATACTCATAAATGTTCACCCAAAAAGGAAGTATAACACCAGATAGAGAACTCATAAAAGGGGACCATTATCTCCTTATCTATTTATATTATGCATGGAAATTTTCATCCAAAATCTACAAAAAGCAGAAGAGATGAAGCAGATTAGAGGCTTAAAGGTGGCTCGTGCGTGTCCAGCGGTATCTCATTTATTTTTTGCGGATGATAGTCTATTTTTCTGTAAAGCTACAAAGGAGGAAAGCGAGGTCCTATTGGATTTACTCAAGCAATAAGTAAGAGCATCGGGTCAACAAATAAATTTTGATAAATCGTCTATACAATTTGGCCACAAGGTGGAGGCGGGTTTACAGGCTGAAATCCATTAAATTCTCGGTATCAAGAATATAGGAGGAATGGAAAATACTTCAGAATACCAGAGAGTCTGGGGGAGCAAAGACAACAAATTTCAACTTTCTTGTGGACCTCCAAAATCAACGAATAAATGGATGGACCTCAAAACTGTTATCCAGAAGTGGTAAGGAGATTCTCATTAAATATGTGGTTTCGGCACTCCCAGCATATGTAATGTCATGTTTTCAGTTGCCTAAAGGAGTGACAAATAAATTAACTACTGCGGTCGCAAATTTCTGGTGGAGTAATAATCGGTAGTAACGGGGAATGCACTGATTAGTGTGGAAAAAACTATGTCGACATAAGACGGATGGGGGACTAGGTTTTCGTGAAATACTTCAGAATACCAGAGAGTCTGGGGGAGCAAAGACAACAAATTTCAAATTTCTTGTGGACCTCCAAAATTAACGAATAAATGGATGAACCTCAAAACTGTTATCCATAAGTGGTAAGGAGGTTCGCATTAAATATGTGGTTTCGGCACTCCCAACATATGTAATGTCATGTTTTCGGTTGCCTAAAGGAGTGAGTCGAGTGACAAATAAATTAACTAGTGCGGTCACAAATTTCTGGTGGAGTAATAATGGGTAATAACGGGAAAACACTGGTTAGCGTGGAAAAAACTATGTCGACATAAGACGGATGGGGGACTAGGTTTTCGTGGCATACAGGATTTCAATTCGGCATTACTGGCAAAACAAATGTGGCGTTTAATTGATACACCACAATCCCTCTTTGCAAAAGTGTTCAAATGACGGTACTATCGGAACGGCAGTCCTTTGGATCCTATTCGTTCATACTCCTCGTCATATTGATGGAGGAGTATAGTTTCGGCTCGACCTTTGATTAACAAAGGGCTCATTAAAATAGTTGGATCGGCTCATTCTATCTATATTTGGAATACCCATGGATTCCATATTCTTGCCCAAGGTCAGCTTCATACTTTGGATTCAATTATTATCCTTACCTCTGGGTGTACGAATTAATTGATCCTGTAACTTCAACGTGGAATCTTCCACTAGTACGGATGTGACCCTTATTCATAGGACTACAACTACGAACCTCCAAAAACAGGATTTACTAGAATGGCACTTTACGAAAACTGGAAGATACACGATCAAGTCGGGATATCAAAAGGCACATAAGTTCCCAGAGTCGGGGGTAACTTTACCAAGGTTTGGTCCTGATGTTCAGAGACTCCAAGTGTATGCATGGAAAGTTCAATACCCATCAAAGATTGTAACATCCCGGTTTGTGATAAATGAGGAGAGGCTTAAGAGAATTGATTTGGCTACATATGTCAACAAAGTGCACTTACCTTTTCGGTCAAAGGTCTATAAGTAACTCCAGAGTTAAGCGTGCTTGGGCTGGAGTAGTGGAAGGATGGGTGACCTTCCGGGAAGTGGTTTCCAAAACCGTGTGAGTGAGGCCAAAACACGGGGAAAGGTCAGGTGTTGATTGCAGGGATAGTAAACCAGTCATTAGAGCCTCTCAAAAATAACGGACCGGCCGTCGGAGAGGGGTGAGGCCCATGGGCCGAGAGGGGCCTGTGGGCCCAGAGTGAGGGCATGGGTGACTCACCGGGAGGGGCGGTCGGACGTTATAAAGATTAATCATTTTATTTGGCAAACTATAACTAGGTGTATCTCGGTTAATATTTAATAACCGTTTGCACAGTCGAGGGATTTCAGTAGACTCTCTCTCTCTGCACGAGATGTGGTATGGCAGACGAATCCATTAACCGCACCATATTTGAATGTCCACCGGAAACCGACACCACCCCATCGATTTCCGGGTGCTACATTATTTACTAATGTAATTCATTTATTTTGACATTTGCCAAAGGATGATAAAATGTTAATGTTTTCATGGTTGATGTGGTATATTTGGAAATCTATGAATGACAAATTATTTTCGAATGTAGATCAGGATCCCCGAGACATTATTATCCCAGCAGAAACAGAAGTAGTCCAAGAGGTTTTGGCGGAGGTGCGGTTTAGCACACGGAATCCCCACCAAATGACAGAATGGGCTGAAATATGTAAAGATGATGGGTCACAGAAAGAGAATGTCAACCGGGCAAAATTAGGATGGTACTATTACAAAAAACATACCGGTGAACGGTTAATGAGAGGCAAGTAATTTAAGGACGGGTCTTACACCTTTACAAATAAAACTAGAGGCACTCGTATGGGTTATGCAGAGCATGTTGGTACAAACAAAACGAGTCATGAGATTCGAGACAGGCTGTTCGGATTTGGTGAACATGGTGTCTACACCTGAAGAGTGGCATGCTTTCTCAATCGTGTTGGAGGAAGTCACAAAATGCAAGAACCTGTTCACGTCATTTTCCATTGCTCACATTCCACGGACCAAAAACAAGAAGGCAGACAAGCTAGCACAGAATGCTCAAAATCGCCTTCTAGATAAATTCTTCACTACCGGTTTGGATTTCTGAGCCTTTCTAGGTAGAGAGGCTGCTGCCAAAAAAAAAAAAGCCCTTGAATTTTACTTGTGTATATTCTGCTATTGTTTTATAAGTAATGTGGTTCACCCGTGATACAATTTTAAACTATAATTTATAGTTTAAGTTAAAAAAGAAAATCAACATATCAAGAATTAATATATGAATCCGAAATTAATTTAAATTAAAATGTGTTTCATCTATTAAATAGTTTCAAATTAACGGTTTATTTTTTAGTTCATTAACAAATAAACCATATACAGTATCATATAAATTTGTAATATATTGTCTTTGATTTGATATGGAGACTGTAAAATGTAATTAAATATTTTACATGTTTACTGATTCTTAAAGTAAAAATAAAAACGAATTTAATAGTAAGATTTAACATTAGATTTTTGAAATAATTAGTTTTGGTAAGTTTAGAAATAAATAAATATGTTTGGTCACATGAATTAGAGTAATTAAAATAGGTAATAATGGAAATAATTATGTTTGTCAATGAATATAAGAAAATTAAATAATCAAAAAATAGAAAACTTGAGAAAATGTTTGGTAGTGACATCAGCAAAAATGGTTTTCAATGTTCCTCATTTAATGTATAGAGGATACTAAAAAATAATTTAAAATATCTAAAAAGGTAATAAATCTACCAAAACAATTTTGTTAATTTATTTCCAAATTATCATTTCTTTTGCCATAGTTTCCAAAATTTCAATTTTTTTTCTTTTTTCCAACGTCTAGCCACAAACCCAAAGAACATAAGTAGACAAACGGAACATTTTAATTTCCTCTGTTACTCAAAGGAAGCCCAGAGCGAGAAAGAGACATCAAGAATCCTTTTTGATTTATTAGAATCTCGAGCTCAAAAAGGAATCGCGAGCCGTATACAATTTCTTCAGATTTGATTATTCCTTTTTTCCCTGTAATCCCAAAAGAAAGTGAGAAACATGGGCGATCGAAGCAGCGTTAGTAACGTGAATGCCGATGTTCCAGCCTCTTCGAGGAAGCTTGTTGAGAGTTTGAAGGAAATCGTATATTGTTCTAATTTCGAGATTTACGCTATGCTTATGGAGTGCGATATGGATCTTGGGGAAACTGTTAATCGTCTTCTTTTCCAAGGTTTCGCTTATTTTTTCATACTTTCATATTTTTTCTCTAATTTATTTTTGGGGGAAGGGGTTTAGCTTCGGGTTTGCTTGAAAAGAATATCCTAAAAAACTCCAATATAAAATTAAAAGCTTTAGAAGACTATTCATGAGATTCTCTTAGGTGTATTGAACTTAAGTTTTCAAGTGATTTTAGGAAATTTGATTGTTAGTGAGTTTTTAGGTGATTATGGGTGAATTGGAGAAATCCTTATGATTTTAATTAAAATACTTTAGAATCCAGCCTAAAACTATGAGATTTGGATTATTATGTTTTTAGTTAAAGAGACTAGAAATTTTACACCCGCGCAAGTGCGTGATTGTTTGCATATATTTTTGGTTGTTCATCATTATTTATATACTTTACAAACTGTGCTCTTAATGTTTTTCCTTTATGTGTTGTTCTGTATATATGATATTGATGTTTATTTATTAAATATTTATACAAACAAAAAAAATTGAGTGATTTTTTTTTAAATGTTAGAAATAGTCAATACTTTAGTTTTTTTTAACATCAAAATCAATAATTTAGTTTTATATATAACTTATTTTTATTACTTAAATTTAACTGTTAGCTTTCAACAGTTAAACATTTTCCATGAAATTTTATTACATACACTATCTTTTTACATAATATATATTATTATGAATTTTAGACATTTTAAATTTTCAGTACATTTTTTTCTTTTAAAAACAAATCTCTTGCATCTACTGTTAAAAATTAACTTTTAATCTTTTAAATATTAAGTTCAACCAATTTTTATTTATTTTTGTCTTTTATATTTTTATTAATCATTTCTTTTTTAATACATTTTTATATTTTTGGTTGAATAATAAATCATTCAATGATATTATGAAAGTGTATGTATTAATTGAATCATTAATTTTGATTTAATTAATTTGTATTTTTTGCTGATGTGGACACTCTAAGAGGAGAGAGCAACTCCCTAATTATATATAAGATTATTATTATGTTTTTAACAAAGAATTACCACCAAATAACTCTAAGGGGGCTTATTGAATTAATCATTTGGGAGGATTTCATTTAATCACTTGAAATCACTTAAAACTCATCCTTTAAAATATTTCCACTGGATTTGAAAGTACTTTTTAAAATCTCAAATTCAATAATTTTAATATAAATCACCTTGAAATCTTGAATCACTTAAAATACCAAGTTCAAAACATCCCGTAAGCCTTTAAGTTCAATAATTTCCTATAATGCTGCTTTGTTCAAAAAAATTTCAGATACTTTTCACGTGGTGAAGAGCAAACGAGACAAGAAGAAAGAGGCTCGCAGAAATAGATCAAATGGTAATAAGCTGCATGAATTTCATTGCTAAAGAGTTTCTGCTTTTTTTTTTGTTGGTTGTGATAAGGTAATTTTTTAAAAATGTTTAAACTTGTTGTTTGTGTATATTGACTCAGAGACGGGAAGTGTTCAAGCTACACGAGGTGGCTTTTCTTCAGCACCCGGTGTCCTCGAGCGCCAACCTCCATCGAACAGGTTTCTTCTATTCATGTGGTCCTTTTTGATATTTGCATCTTGTTAATTCATCGTTATTCTGTGTAAGTTTAGTGTATCTCCTTTTGCTTTGCAGTGATCCGCATCCTACAAACACTGAAGTTAAGAAAACAGCGAGTGATGAAATTACTTCATCCTCACTGCCATCTCATGTCCATAATGCCAACATGGGGAAGAGAACTATGGCTGATGTTGTGAAAATGGGTAGGCCTCTTCACCAGAAGAATGTGGACGTGCCTCGTTCATCAGAGACTCCAAAGACTTGTAGTGCATCTCCTTTGAAGGATGAATGGCCGTCTATTGAGAAGCAAGATGTTGCTGAATCTGAAATCCCTACCGACCAATTGAGTGAGTCTCAACATCTGGATGATGCTCATTTGGATGATGAAAACAACAAAGAAGAGGAACATGCCTTTAAGGAGAATGGAGGTGAGAGTTTAATTCTTGTTTGAGTTTTTTTCCCGCTCTTTCTTCGTTTTTGTGAATGTTTTTTTTTTTTTAATTTTCTTTGGTTTTTCCACTATTTTTCAGGTGAAGATGTGTATGCATCTGTTGCCACCGGTTTTCAGCAACTAGCTATAGAGGATGAAGGAGACAAACCTGAAGTGATAATCCCCAGTCACCTACAAGCCTATACCTTGGAATGCTCACACCTGAAGTTTGGTAGTTTTGGCTCCCGAGAAGGATATGGCCAATCTAGTGGATTGAATTATAACTTGGAGGAAACGCAAAAACCTGTTGATGAACAGCATGGCACTGACTACTATGGAGAGGAAGAAGAACAACTCAGGAAATATGCTGCTTCTCTTACTGATGGTCAAAGTATCTATCAAAACGATTCTGAGACAGAAGCGGTGCAACATGAACCTCCTCAAGAAGATCATCAACAGTACAGGTTTCCATCTTCTGCAGACTACATATTTGAAAACAGCCAACAGTTGAATCCTCACTACTCGCCTTTCCCAGAAAGATACAACACTACCACTCCCTCTTCACTTAGCTTTCCAGCAATAACCATGGCCGAAGTAAGTAAATTCCATTTTTGTTTTCCCTACAAAAATATTCAGAGATCTCTTGTTAATATAATATTTTTTGCAGGCACTAAGTGCAGCAGAGATTTCTCATCAACAGGCAACAGCTCTTGCTCAACACTTTGCCTTAAGTTCATATTCTCATCAGCCTGAGATTCCTTTAGGGCATTATGGCAATCTCATAAGCTATCCATTCATGCCACAGAGTTATAATCCTTACATGCCTGCTTCCTCAAGCAACAACTTCCCTGTGAATCTCACTAATTCTGAAACGTTCTATGAAGATGTTAACAATCACTTGGCATTATCACTTCGACAGCAGGTAAACCAAAACAATTTTCCTCAAATTTTGATTGTTGATGTAAGCATTTGATAGTTCTAGAGGATTTTTTTTTTAGTTCGGTTTATGATATATATCTTTGGTTTGGTTATTTGTGTCCATCTTTGTTTCACAACTCTTAAAACTTGTGGGTTTGTTTCTTTTATTTTAATCCGCAGAACGAAAACTCAGCAGCGTGGCATCAAGGACAACAACCTAACTCGCATGTGTTTTCAGGAAGCGGATATTACAGCTTTAATCAGCAGCCTCCTGGTTTCTGAAACAAGCCCAGCAAATACAGCAGCAACAACAACCGTCTCAACCTTTTGGAGGATATGGATACGTCAGTCCTTACCATTTTCAGGCTGCAGTGTCACTAGACCATCTGCATCATGAACACCAAGAACAACAGGACGTTGGAGACGCGTCTAAGCAGTCTCAACAACAGTTAGAGCCCAACAGCCACTGATCTTAACAAGCAATCAATCAAATCCATCTCTTTTTGCCATGCCTTTTCTCTTTCCCTTTAGTTTCCATCTCTCATTCTTAAAGGGCAGGACGATTTTGAGATGTGAAAGTGGTGATGTGTGTGACTGTGTGTTTCTCTGCTTGTGGATCTAATAAGGTGTTTTGTGAGAGATTTTTAATGGTTGGTTTGTTTACTTGTTAACTTTCATGGATTACCAAAAACTATGTTTTTTTTTCTACCATTTTACTTATTTTTTATAAAACCATTTTACTCTTTAAACTCTTCATTCTTGACATTTTTTAGTAGACTAATCTTTACGTTGTATATCATTATTTTCGACTAGTCATGGTCGACATTTGTTATATATAAATTTTTGGAAACAAAAAATGTAGATGAAAACTAAAAATTGCTAAACAAACTACTTTGATATCAAATTAATATTTTTTTGTTTCATCATATAAGAAGTTCAAGGTGTTTTTATAAAAACTAAGAACTAATTTCATTTTGTATTATTAAAACTAAAACATATTTTTATTATAATTTTAAAACAACCCAATCACGAAGCAAACAATCTTAATAATATAAAGAGTCAAAAACGTAAAAAATACAATTACGTTTTCATTGAAAGTTGAAAACATTTTATAAACTGAAACAAAAAAAATTAAAACTTTTTATAATGAAAAACAGAAAGAATATTGATTATGCTATAAGTTGCTATAAAAAAAGGTTGTGCATCAATAATATGAACTTCAGTTTTAGTTAGGTACGTGACCAAAACAAATAAAAGGGTTTTAAAGTGAACTAAATAGACAGCTAATCATGTCATGTGTTCAGTGTTCATGTTTGGTACTAGTCTCGTACACATATTTAATTCTATAGTTAATAGAGACCTGTACTCATCTAATCGGTAGAACCATGTCATGTGAGATTTGTTAAGAAAACGACACATCTTGCCATTTTATGAGCTTAGTCAGCTCCAAGAATCATGTCATCTTTGTGTTTAATAAGAAAGAGACGCCGTGCTGTTTTGTCCAACAAAGGGGTCGACCCCTTACAAATCTAATTATTTTCAAAATACACTAGTGACGTTGAAATTCAGATTGTATAATAAGAAAAATTACAGAATCAACAATAAACATAGAAAACAAAATGTTCAAAAAAACAATAAACACAAAGATGATATGAAACCACCTTTAATTTGGTATATAGTTAGCAGTTTCAAAGGTGACTCGATTGATGAAATATATGGTCATACATATCAATAGAACTTATGAGTTATAACCTTTCTTTTGTAGTCAACTTGTATTATACAACACTAACGCGACCAAGTCTTTTGAATAGTTACAAAAGAAAAGCAATTCAAATGGTAGTCTGCATGTGTATTTTGTGCATCTAGTGACCATACCAAAAAAAAAATCCTGAATATATGAACTTAAGAAGATCCTTTATATTTTGCAATAATACCATATTTTACTCTTGTAATATAATGTCCATGTGTAAAAGTTTCCTTTTTATATGCTAACAGCATCAAATCAAATCATATTTAATGTAATGGCTAGTGAATAAAGATTAATGAATATCAGAATATGTTATACAGTATGTTATAAAATATAAACATTTGATTGATTTCTCTCTAAATTGTTATTAGCCACAAGAAACAGAGGAAACGCCATTTCTGCTTCCTACTTCGGACCTTGGGATAAAGTTTTTTTTTTTCGGTTTTCCCACTCTTTACGTCCCACCACTTACCTTTCAAGCCCTCGAAATCGCCGATTTTCCGATAAATTCGTTAGCTCAATCCACCGGTTTTACTGTTTTTCCGGCGAGAAAAAACCCCATATGGCTAACGACGGAAGTGGCGGCAATAACAACAACAATAGGGACCCATTACTTCAATACATAGCTAGCCCCAGAATGAAAAAACCGCCTCCGATTCTCTTCCCCTTACCGGAAGACGGCGAGGTCGCGATTCCGATGCCCATGACCCCGTCGGAGTTCAAAGACCGTTTAATCTTCGGACCTTTCTCACGCTCGCCGCAAAATTCGTCTCAATACATCGATTCCCTCGCTCAGAGACACTCACCGTCTTCTTCCGCCGCCGCCGCCGAAACCTTCTCCGATTCCTCAACCCTAGATCCTCTCCTCCCGCCACAACCAGAGCCATGGCTATCCGACCAAAATCCGAACCAGTACCACGGCCACGCACTCCACCGATCCAAAACCGCACCAGCAATGGCCGTAATCAACGATCTCCACCACCCAATTAGCCACCAGAAAGATCTCGACTCGTCGCGCTCCGTCGTAAAACAAGCTTTCGCGCTTCTCTTAGTCTACCTCTCCTTAGGCGTGCTTATCTACTGGCTGAATCGTGACCACTACGTAGTGAATCAAACCCATCCCGTCGTCGACGGATTATACTTCTGCATCGTCACAATGTGCACGATTGGTTACGGAGACATCACTCCCAACAGCGCGGTGACGAAGCTCTTCTCGATCATGTTCGTGCTCGTTGGGTTCGGGTTCATCGACATCTTGCTTAGTGGGATGGTCTCTTACGTTCTTGATCTCCAGGAGAGCTACATGTTGGACTCCGCTAAGCGGAGAGACGAGCCTGATAAGAGGAGGTCGTATATAATCGATGTGAAGAAAGGGAGGATGAGGATTAGGTTGAAAGTGGCTCTGGCGTTGGGTGTTGTGGTTTTGTGTATTGCGGTTGGTGTTGGGATTATGCATTTCATTGAGAAGATTGACTGGCTTGACTCGTTTTACCTCTCGGTTATGTCGGTTACGACCGTTGGGTATGGTGATCGGGCGTTTAAGACGTTGCCTGGGAGGCTTTTCGCTGCGATTTGGTTGCTTGTGTCTACGTTAGCCGTGGCTCGGGCGTTCCTGTACTTGGCTGAGGCGAGAGTTGATAAGAGGAATAGGGAGCGAGCGAAGAAGGTGCTGTGTGAGACCATGTCTGTCTCTCAGTTCTTTGCTGCAGATATCGATAACAATGGCTGTGTGAGGTAATTCAAAAGCTTTGTCTTACATACGTGAAAGGTGTTAAATTTATGAGTTAATGCATCTTCTTGCACTTCTTTTCTTGAATCTTTTTTGGTGCAAGAACGTACTTTTTATGTTCTTAGGCTAAGTTGAAGATATGTGAATATGAGATGACTAGTTTGAATGGTTGCAAAAGGGAGGCTTAGTGGCATTTTTGGATTTAAGACTTGGTAGCTACAATCTGAGATATCCTCTGTTGTGTTGAAGTATGCATTAGTGACATTATGCGTTTCTTTGGAGTCATTTCAAAAGCTTTGTCTTACTTGCTAGCTCATTGAGCTTATTGGATTCTTGAATGTGTTAGATTTACGAGTTATTGCATCTTCTTGCACTTCTTTTCTTAAATCTTTTTTGGTGCAAGAACATTGGCTAAGTTGAAGATATGTGAATATGAGATGCCAAGTTTGAATGATTGCAAAATGGAGGCTTAGTCGCATTTTTGGATTAATGACATCCTCTGTTTTTTTCTTTGTGTGTGTGTGTGTTTTGCAGTAAAGCGGAGTATGTGATTTACAAATTGAAGGAGATGGGGAAGATAACCGATAAGGACATAAATCCAATCTCGAAACAGTTTGACAAACTCGACAGATGCAGCAATGGAAAGATTACTCTTGTAGATCTCTTGGATAGTGGCAGTGGCGATTGATCCTCTGCAACGATTTTTTTTAGCTTAGTATACAGTTTACACAACCTGATCAACGGTGCTGATGATGCTAATGATAGTTATGAGGAGTCCAGTCTCTGATTTGCTTAAACCGGGTTTGGACTGATCTTTGTTGTCTTTGGTCTTTGTCTTGCATAATTAGTTAAGCAGGATGCATATCACCAAAAGTTAAAACTCTCCTCTCACCACCAAAATGAGGAGGAGTTCTGGGTTTTTCTTAACCGGTTTGATGTCCTGCCAAACGGTTATGTCATCGGTTTGCTTTGATGTGTTTCTCATCTAATTTATAGTTTTTAGTGACCCCTGTAATATTTTTTTTGCAGATATGATAGTTGACTAGTTATAGTTAGGATATTGTATGGTTAAATGTATATAAATTTGGATGCTTAAAGGTCTGATCGAACTTTTCTTGGTTCGGTATGGAATAAAATCGCTAAAACTTTTCTAATCGAAATTGTTCCTGAATGTGTATATACGAATGAGTTTTCTTCTTTAACAGTTTCAGAAGAGTCTTACTGTCATTATCAGCTTGATTAAAGTTCGTTATATTCCAAATAAACATAAATTTTAACTCGGATGGTAGCCAAAATGTTAAGAGACTCAAACTCAAGAAATCGTCTTAATATAAAAAAATGAAAATCTGTTTTTTCCTATTCTTGATAACTCCACTCAAACAATGTACTTACTCTAATTTCCTATTAGAGAATGAATGAGAGGAAATCATAGGTAATAATTTTTTCTTGTGAATGTTGTATTTTTTTGTCAAATGAAGGGGTAATCACTAATTCCCATCATTTCCTTGATCATCGTTCGGAGCCTAAATTTTTAAAATTTTAATCAACTCAAATTTCAGAAAGGGATGTGTGTGAAAGAACAGAAAATACAAGAGATTCCTTTGTATTCATTAATGTTTATATATTATGTACTATCAAAATAATAATATCGTCACACACCTAACAACAAACCTGCCCCAATTATTCGTTTTAAAAGGTTCTAAATAGTCAACATTTTCATTCTCTTTTATTTTTATATTTTGGATAATATTTAAATACTTACTATAGTAGTAGTATATATATTAGTATTTGTGTAATATTTCTTTTTGTGTGTTATATCTTTTTAAGTTAGGCACATATCCCCAAACTAGGTCAGACATTTCAACTGCAGACAGATACAGTTATAAAAGGGTGTGTATTTATGTGTACATATATAATATAGCTAATGTTTTTTTCTCTCTTTTACAAGATACACATGCAGAGAGGTCCACGGTCTAACTTATGGTGATACGAACCAAAATAAAAAATAACATTTACCAAGTAGTTAAGAACTTAAATTATCAAATGTGGGGCTATATTCAAATGAAGCTTCATGGATATGACAGCGCATACGATTAGGCACCAGTTACGGCGCTCATATTTGCTATAAACATGTATTTTTATATACATCTAATATCTACTTAGAATACATTTATGTGGACAGGTACGAGAAACAGATACCACCATTACATGCAATAGAAGATTGAAAATCCATTTATGTTAGAAAATCAAATTATTTTACTAGCGATATTCGATAATTGTGTCAGTTTTTTTTTAATCATGGAATAATAAAATTTTGTTGTTTTTGGTCAAATGAGAACAGTTAATCTCTCTTTTGGTTCATCCAAAACTATTTGCTCTTTTGAAGAATCGGTATTGCTTTTCTCGAAAACGTTTTTCATCGTACTTCGTTTTGACCAAAAAAGAGCTACAAAAATGGGAATGATGATTCAACTTTTTTCATTGATTAAAAAAAACATAAACACCCAACCATAGTCCTTAGCTCAAAACAAATTATACTCGTTGAGGAGGATATCGTTATGACTATATGTATATTTAATGTCGGGCCATCCATAACATTCTACTTATTGTATTTGTATAGACTACAGAGATTATCTATCAAACGCAATCTACTGTAATTAAAAAAATAAAGGATTTATCTAGGAACGTGAAGAGAATGATCAAATGAATGGATTGTAGGCGAAACCACTAAACCATGAAATTTTCAAAATTTTAGTACTAATTCATAGAGGATCATTTGTATTTATCTTTGTCATGCTTTTGAGATTAGTAAACCATTTACTTTGACCATACTAAAGTTGATGTATGTCCCCTTCTCATTTGTCATGTCGGTTAGGCATTATATGTCTCATTTTTTCCCTATATCATGTTTCTATCAATTTCTATGTAAGAAACAAAGCAAAGAAACTATTTATAGCACAAGGTTCATAACAAATTCCCCCCCCCCCCCACAATTATCGCAATGAAAATGTACCATTATTATATATCTTTACTATATCAAAGCCTTATCATATCGGTTTTGACCATCTTTATCACATACTTTATAAATTTAAATGCTCCTTTACTTGCCATAAGAAAGTCCTAATGTGCTTTATCAAAAAAAAAGAAAGTCCTAATGTGAAAAGAAATTGTGGTAGCGTAATGATGATCTCATTTAGCCGTCAGCATAACGATCCACTCCACCATATAGCTACGTGATTCAAAGCCCACATATACGTAACTAATTTCTTGAATGTTATAGCATAATTGGGAATATGTGATGTCAAATTATAACAATAAAAAAATTCAAGAGATTGATAATTTCATATACTAGCTATATTTGATACCCAAACAATGTAGGGTCTATATAATTGTTGCCTCTTGACTTGGGATTTTAAATTCACGTATGAACAATTTATTAAGGTTCGTGAAGCAGCAAGGGAAGAAGAAGAGAGGACAGTCTAGCACGTGCCCGGTCATGTGTCGGCGACGGTCAAATGCCGGTGCCATTATTTACACGTGGCTGCCTAATACTCCCAAAACGTATTTTTCTCTTTTTAAACCTCTTTTTTGCTTCGTTTGAATCTTTGACTGCCTCTTCCTTCGTTCTTCCCATTTTAAGCGACCGGTGACGGACTGTTTCCGGTTTCCGGTAAACCATAGTCTTCGCTGACTAAGACTCCTTCAATTACGTCGCCTTCCTCCACTCGCTTGGTCGTAGCGCGTACTCTCACGTCCTTTTGTTGGTTAACTTTTCATGTCTTACCTTTTAGCCCCATTAAAAAGGCAGTACACTCAACGAACCCACAATATATTGTGTTTTATCAAATGTGGCTAAAATTTTAACGAAGATTCGTAATTTCGTATACAAAGACTCGAACAGCTATATGTATAATATAAGGACTTGCAATGAAATATCCAATTCTTTTTTTTGTTTGATAATAATACACTTTTTATTCGTACACAAGCACGTTTCGTCACTAGAAGCCACTTTTGCAGCTCTGTTTTTGTTTTGTTTTGTCAACTTAGCTTTATACAAAGTTCTTATTGCCAAAAACTAGAAAGTCATTCAAAAGGCATAAAATGCTATCACAAATGATAAATATTCACATGTATATCATATTTGTTGAATATATACATTTTCTTAAAATATTGTATTTTTTTTTTTGTAGCAACCCGAATATATATAAACTTTAAACTAGGTTATCTTTCCAGTTATTTATTTTTGTCAACATTTGATTTTAAAATAATACAAAATTCATATTTTTAATTTATTTATTAATTTATAAACTATACCGATAAACTTAAGAAAATTACTGAATCCCATTATTATTATAATAATAATAAAGAATGAGGATCTTATAAAATTGCATAAAGTAATACTACATTTTAATACTGAGAAGACGTTAAAAACAAAGTTAGCAGAAAAAAATATCAACATAACTATGCATTCACACACGTACCATTGAATAATATCCCATTATAGTTTTACTTAGTTAGCTTCATTCCAAATGAATTAGCCAAAAGCATACTATTATTCATCAGAATCATCACTCTCTTTCTCTCTCTGCCTTTTTCGAGTTTCAAAATGCATAAATACGAGAAAGAGAGACGAAGACCCAATTAAAGTCCAAACACCAATCTAGACTTCTTAGGAAAAAAACCTAATCCCCAAACCTAAAAATTTTCTTCTCTCTTCTCTCTTCTTCTTTACTTTTTTTTCTTCTCTTCATTGTTCTTCACCATGTCTAACTACCAATACCCTTCATCATTCTCTCTGTACGAAATGATGAATCTCCCTACTTCAACTCCATCTTCTTATGGAAACATCTCATCACAAAACGTTTATGATCCATCTTCTTACTCCTTCACCGATTGCCTCCAAAGTTCTCCGGGAACGTACGAATCGATACTCCAAAAAAAGTTTGGTCTCTCTCCCTCTTCCTCAGAGGTTTTCAACTCTTCGATCGATCAAGAATCGAACCGCAATGTTTCTAGTGATGTAATCGGTGAGACTCCAGCTAGGGTTTCTGCATCTTCTTCCTCTAGTGAGGCTGATCATCCGGGAGAAGATTCCGGTAAGAGCCAGAGGAAACGAGAGTTAGTTGGAGATGGAGAAGAAGATCAAAGTTACAAAAAAGTGTAAGTCATACTTTACTAGTGATTTTTATGAAATAATGTGGAATATCTATTGGTTAATGATTCCCTCATATAGGAATCGAATCTACAAAGTGAAAAAACAATATATGTATATAAATCTATTATGTGTGTGCTAATTTTATAATGTATGATTTCAGAGGGAAAACAAAAAAGAAAGAGGAGAAGAAGCAAAGAGAGCCACGAGTCTCGTTTATGACTAAAAGCGAAGTTGATCATCTTGAGGATGGTTATAGATGGAGAAAATACGGCCAAAAGGCCGTCAAGAACAGCCCTTATCCAAGGTAAATCTTGTTTTCTTCATCCATTTGCATTCATTAATGTTTATTTTTATTAATTGATGTATTGTAAATAATAATTGCAAATGCAAACTATAATAGGAGCTACTATAGATGCACAACGCAAAGGTGCAACGTTAAGAAACGGGTGGAGAGATCGTTCCAAGATCCAACGGTTGTGATTACAACTTACGAGGGTCAACACAACCATCCGATTCCGACTAATCTCCGAGGAAGTTCCGCCGCGGCTGCTATGTACCCCGCCGACTTCATGGCTCCGAGAAGCTTTACACATGATATGTTTCGGACGTCAGCTTATACTAGCGGCGGTGCTGCGGCCGCAGCTTTATCGGATTACGGATATGGACAGATTGGAAATGGTAGTGTGGATGCAAACCCTAGTTCCCATCAAGAGTATCGCCAAGGAGGTGAATATGAGCTCTTGAAGGAGATTTTTCCTTCTATTTTCTTCAAGCAAGAGCCTTGATCGATCATAGCTATAACTACATATATACACTACTATACTACTTCCATATATATAGAGAGAGAAGAGAGCATTTGCAATATATATGTAGCTTAAGATCTATTTTGTCTCTCTTATTTGCATGTACATATTTTTCTCATGAGAGAATGAGACAGAGATTGGGCTTGGATTATAGAATATTTGATGATGTTTAATGGGTTATAACCTTAAAAATATCTTTCTTTTTTGATATTTAGTGTAATTGTAGTTCCTGTTTTGGGTAGTTTTATATGACATGATGTTATTAGCTTGTATGATGTGTACTATCATATGTAGAAGCGAAAAAAGACATAATTCTAGCTAGGATAAATGTCTCATGTATAAATTATATTCTTGTGCATTTTGGGAAACTTGATTTTAAAAGTAACAAGCTCACAAGAGATGGAGAATTAATACGAAAATTTTAGTATGAAGGTGTTAGATATACAAAAAAAGGTTGTGGACGACGATTGTCTATGTGTGTGAACAACTGAAGAAAAAGCAAAAACAAGTTGAGTTCTTCCTTGTGTCCTAAGAGAGAATGGACCCAAATAAAGATTTGACTGCTTCTGCTTTCTATCTTATCCACACACATGGAAACATAGACTGTGGACCAGTAGTTTTACCCCTACGATTGAAACTGAAAACAATATTTCTATCGAAAAAAAAAAAAAAAACAAGAAAAAAACAATTCTTTTGGAAATATATATATATATATATCAAATCTCAAAAGAAAATGGCTTAGAGTACCGGCCGGGTTCTAAAAGATACCGAAGTAACTCAGAAAATATATGAATCCATAGACTATGGTTTATATTTCATTAGTGAAAACGTTTGTCACTTCAGCGGAGACCGCCCTCCTTCCATTACCGGTGAAAGTATGAACATGTAATAGTATAACTTTCATGTTGACAGAACTTAAATAAAATCTAATGATACAAATGTTTAAAAGAAAAGGTAGAAAATGAAGATGAACCATAATTTGTAAATGTGTTTGTACGAATGACTAGCCAACAGAATGTTCAACTAAGCTAAAGATTTTTAAAACTAACAACTGGCTATAGCAATGCATATTAGACTAACTCAGTTATTTTAATCAAACTAACCACGGTCTGATTTGATCGTGTTGATAAATATTTTTCTTAAATCCAACTTTTCATCCCATGATAGCAATATAGTATGCATATTCCTATGAAAGAGTTCTGGATAAAACAGAGTTTAATTAATTTATTGTAGAAACTAGAAATCGAGAGAGGAGATTCTTCAATTCTCAGAGAATTATCAAAATTCAGACAGAACGCTTTTTGACCACCTGATCACCGAATATAAATTATCTGTGGAGCGCATTTATGTCATATACCAAAGTCACTAAATGCATCAATATACATTAATATCTCAATTATATGATTCAGGAGAGCATCATGGATCATGTGGCTTCTGAATTTTCTAACATGCGCCGTCCGATGTAACTTCATTTTACTATTTGAAAATTTATATTTAATCTGAAATTCAACTGATATGTCCAATCCCTAGTCTCTTCATGATGATCAGTTATACAGTAGTTTTTTCGAAGACGTTTTCCAAATGGTTTAAGTATTTTGAGATAAACTTTTTGTTCACAACCTCACTGTTACATTTTTTTTTTCTTTTTTTTCTTTTTAAACTAGAAAGGGTCTGGGCCTAAGCCTTAATCCCTCTCCAGCCCGGGACTAGCTTTTGCTAATACTTTATTACATGGCGTAAAACATCCCTCCCACCGGGAATCGAACTAGGAACACATTTGAGTTAGAGTTAGAGTTTTCGTATAAAAATCTCAAACATTCTATCAATAGTCATAAAATCACGATTGACATAGATTCTTCCAAAAACAGTCCGCAAACATTTTTAGAGTTTAACAAAAATTAACATAATAAAACAATCCTTCATATGTTCTTCATTTTGACCAAGTTTGTAGATGTTTTTGATTTAGAATGTTGTGGCCTACGCATATATAAAAAATAGATGCTAGAAGTTCAATCATATATATCGAATCAAATGGAAACTTTTGTTTTTGACACATATTGTTAGATCTAAGATAGCATTCGTCAAGACGGGCTATCAAAGATGTGAGTTTAGGAAACTGGAATGCTTAATTCGACTCTTAGATTATCAAGAAAGTTACAAGGAAGTAATCTCGCTAACAAGCCTAGCGAGATTATGGGATGAACAAGAGGAGAGTAAAAGCTAGTATGAGTCTAGTGATTCTAGATGATTTCGGATCCCTTTCTCCATGGGGGGGTCTTCAATATATAGTGTTGATAAGTCGGCCGTCCGATGAATATTCTCCTTCGAGCGAGATGGAAAACTTCCTCTTTTGCGATATGGAAAACTTCCCTTTGTTCTTGATCTCCTTCCATTCTTTAAGTCGGCATGAAGATTTATTTACATTTCTCCATGGATTGTGCCTTTCTCTTCAAGTCTTGCCTTTTTCTTGAAGAGTTAGGCCTAAAATCGGATTGGGCTTTGTGACTTTACTAATGATGACGGGCTCAGGGAAATGTGCTAATTTCTCCTCTAACAATAAGTCCCCCCGCCAGCTCGGCAGGCCAAATGTAGTTTGATCTCGGCGAGCTTCATGAATAGAGGACGAGCTTGAGAATCATTAGTAAAATACATCACTTCAATCAGATCTTAGTGCCTAGGTGCATGCTGAATGTAGATTCGTGCCGCCTCATTAAAACCTTGGTACGGAAAAACCCAATTGGGACAAAAACCATAAAAAGAAAAAGAGTACGTTGACGTCATCTAATTCATGAGTAATTTGCTTCGAATGATTTTTGCCGTGACCAAAAATGCTTTCTTGGTTCGAGTGCCATGACGAGTTCGGTTTTTAGCTGTGACTGGGCGATTTTGCCACGTCACTGCCCAGGTGGGCTTGTTTGCAATCGCGTGGGCTGAGTCCGATAATCAATTAAATCGCGCGGAGGCCCAAGCCCATTAGTGATTTTCCATTGAGCGGGAAAGAAATGAATAAAAAATCCATAAGGGCAGTTGTGTCCCTTGGAAGTCGCGCAATCTCTATTAAGAGACCGTTCGAATTTCCTTTATTCATTTTTGCTTCTTTTCTTTTTCTCACTCAACCGTCCCGACGAATCAAAGGTACTTACCTTCCTTAGTCCGACTTCAAATCTTATTTCGATTGTTTCACCGAATTGATTTTGCGGGATTTAGGACTAGGGAATTACGAATTGCTCGGGTCTAGTTAGGTTGTGCTCCGATTTCGTCCTCCTCATTCGTCGATTCGGGTTTTAGGGTTTTTGATTCGTCAAGTATTTCGTCTCGATCGTCGAGTTTTTCCGATTCTCCGTCCAATTGAAATGAAACCAACAAATAGAAAGGGGAAAGGCATCGCCATCGATGACGACGATGAGACGATTGCCTTGATTGCGCCACTCGTCCGGAGAGGCTTCTTGGTGGAGCCATCCAGGCGGATGCGGTGGAGCGTCGCAGGAGGACGGTGGTGGATGAAGCGACGGCTGCTGCCGATGCCGAGAGGGTGGTTGAAAGGGATGAGATGGAGGAGGCGGCGAGGATCGCCGCCGAAGCCGATCGTCGGGAAGACGCTGAGAGAGTGAAACAGAAGGAAGGAGAAGAGCATGAGTCCGGTGACGAAACCGGCTCTGACGAGGACGAAGGAGCAGGGTCGTCAGGACAAGCGAGACTCGAGGGCATCCCGGATGTAATCAAGATGCCGAGCCGTACACTGCCTACCGGCCTAATCCATGATGGGAGGTCGTGGATGACGGAGGAGATTCTCCAAGATCTCATAGCAGAGGCCGAGTTCCGTGATTCCGTGGAGTTTCGTATCCCAGGCTATCTTGAAAGGCCCTACGACGTTCCGGCTGGCTGGATGTGCATTTACGAGTGTATGTTCACCGAATTTGGGATGAACTTCCTTCTGTCTCCTCTGTTTTTGCAATTTGCGGCTGATCGTGGCATTCCTACGAGTCAACTGACCCACGGCGTGGTTCGTCACATCGTCTTTACTGAGGCCCTAGCTAGAGCCGCCGGAGTTTTATTCGATCGCCTTTTGTTCGAGCATATTACTGATCTCCGGGCTCCTTCTTGATGAGTTAAAATTTTAACCACTCTTGGTTAAAATTGCTATCCATGCTTGATGAGTTTGCATTTTCTGATGTTGTTTGTTATCTTCGCAGGACCGTCTAGGCGAGCGAGATCGAATAGCAAGTTTAAGGAGAAGTTCAGGCTGTTGAAGGAGCTTAGCCATCGATTGTGGCCTAAGGTTGTGGCGGCGCTTGAGAAGAAGAAGCAAGAGAGGAAAGATAAGAGGAAGGGGAAAAGCAAGTCCGCCATTCCCGCGACTCCGATATCCAGTGAGCATTTTGTTTTTTTCCCTTCTTCTTTTTTTGCTTGGTTTTGTCTTCTGATATCTTAATGTTTTGCTTTGTCTTATAGCGGTGAGACCATCTCGTTCTGAGAAGAAACCGATGGGTCTTAAGAAGAGAGCAGCCATGCCCATTGACGATGTCGTCGGCGCCCAAAAAGAAAAGGGTTGAGTCCCCAAGACTGAGGGATTCTCCTCCTTCTCCCCTTCGGAGCTCTTCCATTGCGTCACGTACGAGATAGGTTATTTATCACTGAGTCCTTAGGAGATGGTTTCGGCATTTCAGTGCTAAGCGTAGAAGTTCTCTGCAGGGCTTCGACGAGGAAAGCCTCGACCTCTGGCCTCGACCTCTGTTCCTGACGATGTTCCGGAGAAAGTGATCGAGCTTGAGTCTCCTCCTTTCTCTGATCATGACGAATCTTCCCATCACGATGAGAGTGCTTCTCATCATGATGAAGATTTGAGGACTCCGGTGCGTGGTGGTTCGCCTTTCCAGGGGAATGAGTTTCTCACCCCTCGTGGCGACACTCCCTCCTTTGACCAGCGTGATCGTGGCGGCTTCGAAGAAGGGGAGTCGTCTCGGCGTCCAGGTGAGAACGACGAGGCGGCGTCTCATCATTCGGAGACGGGCGGTTTCGCTCCTCACTCAAACCTTGGTGCTAAGGGCGACACCGGGATGCCAAAGGATGGTCCCGAGGGTTATAATCCTCACGCGTTCAAGACGTGGTGGAACGGTGAGAACCCTCTCATGGAGGACCAGGATGCTTGCGGAGGGGCGACTTGGATGTCTAAAGTTCATCCTGGCTAGGGGATTCCGCGCGAGGAGCTTACCTTTAGCACCGAGTTCGACGAGGCTGCTCAACATCACATCATGTCTGGCGGGAAGTTCACCGCACTGGTCTAGAAGTACGAGACGGCGCTTCGGGCAGCTAAGGACGAAGCCTTTACGTTGCGGCGGGAGCAGGAAAAGGCTAAAGATGTTGACGCGATGGTAACCGATTTAACGCAGGATAAACTGGCGCTTGAGTCGAAGGTCGCGGCATTGAATAAGGAGATCGTGAAGACTCTCGGGCTTCAGGATGTGGCTGATCAGCTCAGAGCTCAAGTGGGTGATCTGGAAGCGAAGGCACGTCGGGATGCAGAGGCTTCTGCAGGTGAAATGGAACGTCTCCGACGGTCTCGTCGAGAATCGGTCGAGGCGGCTGTGACTCAGGTCTTTGACTCGGTGAATGACTGGTACGCTCCTCGTCTCTATCGCTTGTCGGAGTTCGTCGCACAACGGGACATCGTTGAAGCCGCCGTAGGAAGGAGGCAAGTCGACGAAGCTCTCCTCGACTTCGTGAAGAAGATTCGGGGAGTGGATCTGAACTTAGACGCGATGGAGGAGAAGCTCGCGGCTAAGCTGGCGAAGAGTATCGCAGATGGGGATGCGATTGACGAGGTTGTTATCGATGATGATGATTTCGCTCCGCCTAACAGGTAAGGTTTTTGCTTCTTCTTTTTCGTTATGTCGTGCTTTGCGTAAAGTTATGTTTGCTTATGTGTTTGCTTTGCTTTTGTAGCCTTAAACGGCTGGTGCTGCCGGGATCTCCTTCTCGTCGAAACGGTGATGGTGCAGATCCGGGTGCGGGATCATCTACTTCCGGGGCCAAGCCTGCTTAGGCCCCATTTTCATTGGTTTTAAGACTTTTCTGGCTGCGGCCTTTTTGTTGTTGTAATAACATTGCCTCGGAAGGTTTTCATCCGTATGCTTAGGATTTGCGCTTTTATGCTAGATACTTATAGTGTTTTAAGTATGATTTTTTTTATTGCTTGTGCGTTTTTTATTGCTTGCGTGTTTTGCGTGGTCACGACTCTAGACATAATTGATTAGTTCGCAGCGCAATGAAAGTAATCCGGCTTTTGGTTATGCCTTTTGATAAAGGACGATGGTATCGTCGACCGTAGAAGTTGAATTATTTACTTGGTCGTCACCGAGTAGAAATTTGATTATCGGGATGACTCGTTACCTTTAAGTGTATCACGTCATGGTGCGCGTGATGGTGCTAATGCGTCATGACTTGACGCGATGCTTTCGGGTTTCGTCATGACTTCTCATTCGAGACACCGACCGGCGCGTATTAGGTCTGTGTGCTTAGGATGTTAAACCTACTTTCAGCGACGAGCTCTAGAAACTCGATTTATGCTTCCGACTTCAAAGCTTCGTGCGGGTGACGAGGTAGCGGTTTTTCGCTCGTCCGACGAACTGAGAGCCGTGCGAGGTGCGTGCTCTCGGCTTAATGAATGGGTGATCAGTCCATGTTTTTAGGGTGCAAAGTGCAAGTGCTTATTGAGTTTGCTCAATAATTTGGTTTGACGTCAAACAAGTGCGTGCGTAATGTCGACAAGTTTCTGCTTATGCCGGGATGAGGCGCGCTTATCGAGATTAAAAGGGGTCTTAATAAAACTTAGAATTTTATTAAGTATTATAGTTGCGCCCTTGGTTAAAAAGGCTGCCTACGTACCCGTGCCGGGATCAAGCCATTCGTAGTTCGTTACAAATGTTCATGTAACTAGCCCGGTGCTTCGCGTCTAGTCATGGAACTTGCGCAGATCCGACGAGCTCCAGAGGCGATCGGACGTGATGCCGTAGGTTGTCTTCAGCTGATAGACTCCTGGTTTTACGACTTTCGCGATGCGGAATGGTCCTTCCCAATCAAAGCCGAATTTGCCGAGACCATAGATCGTATCATCGTCGGTTTTGCAAAAGACGAGGTCGTCTAGCGCGAAACGGAGGTGTTGCTTTAGGAAAGGCGGCTGCCAGATCGTCGAAGCTGTCGATGGAGTCGGCCCGGAGGTTGCCGAACCATGTTAGGGCATTGCCGCGCAGGTGTTCGGCGAGGGCTTGGCAGAAGTGGGCGTTTTGTTCTTCCGGCGAGGCATACTTCTGTCTTCTCATGGCTATCATGAAGGACGTGATCCATTGCTTGGGATCGTTCCGGCCATCGTAGAAGTTAGGTGCAGCGAGACGCGCTTCTTCAGTGGTACTTCGGAGATGCGGCTCGTCAGGGGGGTCCTCTGGATATCGGAAATGATCTCGAATATCTCTTGATCCGAGAATAGCATTGTGGAGATGCATGACGGTCTGCCCTCGCATGATTCCCCAGATTCTTCCCGATCTCGTCGTCGCAGATAGGAGTAGCATCTCGGCGAGGGGACGACTCGTGGTAGCATCTTGGTGCTTTATGCGCGGATTTTTCCGGGTGGAGGATGATGACCTTTTCTTGTTTCCCAGCTGGTTTCGAGGATCTTTTGGGTCGGATCGCAGATACGGGATATCTTCCTCGAGGGATGTAGTTTTGAGCGCGAAGGAAGACATCCTTCAAGGTTCGGAAGGATCGAATGTAGAAGTCTTCACGAAACTTAGATCGTACCAGAGCCCGCATTGGAGGGCTTGGATGAGCGCTGTTCTGCGATTGGGGGCTCACCCGGGGTCTCGTCAAGGTCGAGGAGCATGCTTTGAATCTGTCGAGGAAGCTCCGTAGCGGTTCGTCCTCGAGCTGTTTTGTTTCGAACAGATTGGAGAGCTTCTTGGTGTTAAGGCTGGACCTTAAGTCGGATTTCCAGGCGGGTTCGGCGTTTGCTTTTGGAAATGGCGGCGTTTCTCCCAGCGTCGTGGTGATGTGTCCAGTTGTATTGAGTCCGTCGGTCTCGTCGTACAATACTGGCTCAGATTCTTCGCGAGGTTGTTGGTTTGAGGGTTCGGCTATCATAAAGGATGATGCGGTGCGGAGCTTGCGCTCGCGAAGGAAGCATGATCGCGTCACTCTTTGATCCCCACGCAAGGTGTAAATTCCCGGATAGCGTCGGGAATTTCACGCACTGGTGGAAAGTCGAGACGACGGCTTTCATTTCGTGGAGCCAGGGGGTGCCGAGTATTGCGTTGTAGATGGCCGGTTTGTCCATGACAATGAACTTCAAGAGCTTCGAAATTCCGCCGACATAAACGGGGAGCCGAACTGTTCCGCAACTGTAGGTGTATTCGGCGGTGAAACCGGTGAGGGGACGGGATGTAGGTTTGATGGATTCCTGTTCCACTCCCATGCGTGATCCAGTGTCTCTAGGAAGATGAGGTTCACCGTGCTCCCAATGTCATTAGAACCTTTGCGACATCACAGTCGTGAATCTGCAAGTGACCACGAGGGGTCGAGGTGGGGGATATCTAATCCGCTTGCGTCCTTATCCATAAAGGAGATTGTAGGGATCCCTTTATGGACATATGGGTAGCGTTGTGCCGCGACGGCCTTTCGCTCGTATTCCTTGATCGCCGATATGGAATCGTCGTTATCCAGGAGGCCTCCCATGATCATGCTGACTTGTCGCTTCGGTGGTGGAGGTAGGTCGTCGTGGTCATCACGATTCCTCTTCCCAGGCGGGGCTTCCGGTTTTCTGCATCCTTCTTCGGACGGGGTTGTCGTCCGCGCTTCTCCTGTTGCCCAGATTTTGGTGGTCTCGGCGGGAAGCTTTTTCCTTGGGACCTATCGCCGTCCATTGGCGGGATTTCTCCTCGATGGTACATGCGCATAAGGTTGCTCATTAGGTGTTTGCAGTTTTCAGTGGCGTGGCCAGTTCCCCGTGGAACTTGCAGAAAGCTTTGGTATCGTTGTCATCTCCGAGCGAGTTGATGTCTTGTGGCATCGAAACGGCCGCTGCGTGCTCTTGCTCGGACTCATCGTCGGCTGCTGCGAACGCTGCGAGGAGAGACCTCTTCGGATCGTGTCTTCTTCGCGCCTCCATGGGTTCCTCTCTGGGTTTCGACGAGGTTGCCCTCCTATCTCCATGCTTCTCGGCGTAGAAGCGCTGGTCTTCCTCGAGGAAGATGTAGTTCCGAGAGCGGTGGAACGCGTCCTCCAGAGTCGCAGGGGGTTTTAGTGACAAATCCTCCTTAAACTTGGAGTCGTACCAGAGGCCGTTGCGGAGTGCTTCCAGCGGGACGCTATCGGGCATGTCGCCAGTGTCGCGAGCTGCTTGTTTGAACCTTTCCATAAAGCTGCGCAATGGTTCGCCTTGGGTTTGCGTTGTGGTGAACATGTTCCGAGTGATTCGGGTCATGTGCATGGAGTAATGCTTCAGAAAAGCATTGGTTAGGTCGTCGAAGTTATCGATCGACTCGGCGGGGAGGTTAGAGAACCAGGTCAAGGCATCTTTCGCCATGTGCTCGACGAATACTTGACAGTAGTTGGCCTCCCTTTCATCGTAAGATTTGTATTTCTCCCTCCTCATGGCGAGGTTGAACGCGGTTAGCCACTTCTTGGGGTCTTCTTCGCCGGTGTAAGAGTCGATTTTGAGTCGAACTCTTTCGTGTAGTCAATCTGGCGGAGCCTGCGGGTGAGCGGGCTTCTTCGGGTGTCGGCGAGTGCTTTCGTCAATTCCGGAGCTGAGCTGGTGGCGCGATGAACTTTCGAATCGACCTCGTCGAGGCGACGATTCATCCGTTCGAGCTCTTGGTGGTAAGTCGCCTGAAGTGCGCGGGACGGGGGGTTGTTCCGTCAGTGGGACTTGACGGATCTTCATCGTCTTCTCGTGCTAGGGCTTCCACCTGTTCCTGAGTCTTTTTCTGCTGTGCTCGCATTGACTCGAAACCGTCGGCGAGTGGCTTGACGAGATTCTCCATGAGTTTGAGGATCTTCTCGCTCGAGGAGGATTTCTTCGAGCTGCGGGGTTTGTCGCTCGAGGAAGATTTTCTCGAGCGGCGTGGTGCGGACGGAGGGGGCTCTCGTCCTTTCTTGGCGGAGGAGATCGTTGCGGCGAAGTCGATCTTCGCGGCGAGACGGATCTCTGTGGCGAGAAAGATGGGTTTCTTGTAGGGACAGGCTTGTCCCTACCTTCAGCGGGTAGCGACTTGTCTATCGTGCTGGTAGACTGTCGCTTAAGTTTTCTTCTGAGGGAGACGGGCTCCCGGTGGGAGTGTTCTCTTTCGAGTTCACCATCGTTGCTAGTTCGTGAAAATCTAGATATCTTCGAGATGAATAGCGAGAAGCGTTTCCAGCCCCACGGTGGGCGCCAATTGTTGAATCCGAGATAGCACTCGTCAAGACGGGCTATCTAAGATGTGAGTTTAGGAAACTGGAACGCTTAATTCGACTCTTAGATTATCAAGAAGATTACAAGAGAGCAATCTCGCTAACAAGCCTAGCGAGATTATGGGATGAACAAGAGGATAGAGTAAAAGCTATGTGAAAGCCTAGTGATTCTAGATGATTTCGGATCCCTCTCCAATGGGGGGTCTTCAATATATAGGTTGATAAGTCGGCCGAATGATGAATATTCTCCTTCAGGCGAGATGGAAAACTTCCTCTTTTGCGATATGGAAAATTCCCTTTGTTTTTGGATCTCTTCCATTCTTTAAGTCGGCATGAAGATTTATTTACATTTCTCCATGGATTGTGCCTTTCTCTTCAAGTCTTGCCTTTTTCTTGAAGATGTTAGGCCTAAAATCGGATTGGGCTTTGACTTTACTAATGATGACGGGCTCAGGGAAATGTGCTAATTTCTCCTCTAACATATATCCACATTAGCTGAAACATTTATTTAGTATTATTAAAATTCTATATATTAACTTGTTGACCTATAGCCAAAAAAAGCTTCGATACAAACAAATCTCGTGATAATGATGATACCTTTATTCTTTTTCGGGGTCGTTATCAAATTTACCTAACAAAAACAAAAAGAAGCCAGAATACTAAAAGATCTTCCGGGAGAATCAAGTAATTGCCAAACCCCCTAGACCCTAGACAGTTATAAATTATAATGACATGAGAACATATTATACAAACATAGTTATAAATAAATGAAATTTTGGTTCATCTTGTAGGCAAATTTTAGGAGATGACTTTTTTTTGGGGGCTCCAGTATCATGACAAAAGATTGACAGTTAAAAAAAAACTAAAATAATTATATCTTGACATTAAGTGAAATATGCACAATTTATTGCCAAAACAAAAAGAGAGGTAATTTACCTCAAACCTCAGACAATTCAAGCAGAAAAATTAATCTGTCGCCGACGAAAGTAATCATCTCCCGCCGACGGGTACCATCGAACCTAGGTGGCATGAGTAAGTTGTTAAATGACACAGCCGTCTTGGATGGGACCCAATTGGTGACATAAGCTCTACTTTAATTTTACTTAAACGCAAAAATAACCGAATGATTCCTGGTTTTGACCGGTTCGGTAGATAATTTAACAAACCAGAAACAAATTGACGGTATATAGGTATCAAAGATTCAATCAACGCCATTGCATCTTCGATCTTGCTCATCATCCAACTCATGGCCGTGATTGTAATTGCTCTGAATGTTTTGTGCATAAATAATTTTTTTAGAGCACTACTATTAAACCAATCAAGCTTTGATTTCATTTTTTAAGTTAATTTTAAATATGAAAATATTTTGGCTCCAGAGCAAATTTTCCAGAGCACAAATAACTCTGGGGATTCTCTCTCTTCTCATTCTTTAATTTCATTCTCTATATTTCCTTTTTAATGTTTCTTTCATATATTTCTTTTATTTATTTTTAATGTAACATTTAATGATATTTTATAAGAAATTATTTATAATAAAAATTCGACAGCACAACCACAGCAAAAAAAAATCCAAAGATATAGACACAACCGATCAGGCCCTCTATCCTCAGTGTTTCTTTGTTCCGTTTAAATCTGAAAGTTAAAAGTCCATCTCTGTACACAGGTTACTTTTAGGATGAACAACAATTACAAAGGAGCAAACAAAAAGAAAGGTAATTTAGATTACCTCGTATCGGCTACCTCTCTGGGAGAGTAGCACAAACCGACCACAGAACTTCGCTTCAGGGAAGAGCTGGGCAACAGAGGCAAGCGTGATCAAGACTCCTCTGCTGATATCACTCACGAGCGCATCCGTGAGGAGGGAGAAGCGCAACATTATGCTCCTCTACCATCGGCATCATCATACCAATATCGTTACTCGAACCCCGCCGGTGTGACTCGATCACATGCTGAGTCAAACCAACTTTACTGGGCTCGAATTGGTGTCTTCATACCCAATTCATTCCTAGTTAAAGAAGACCAGAAAACTCCCTTGAAAAACTATTTTTTTTAATATAGAAAAACAATTTATTATGTTTCGCCTATTCTAAGGAACAATTTAATAGTCGAAAAAGAAACAGTTTAATATTTAGCGGAATGACAAGTTTAAAATATTGGACCGGATACAAAATCTTAGACACCGAAAGTTCAAAACCATTTTGGACGTATATCATAGAGTTTTAAGTGACCAGGTCTATTATCATAGTTTACATCGGGATCTGAGTCTCACCTGACTACTCTGATGGATATTACAGTAAGTGGCTTTTTTTTAATGTTAAAGATCCGGACAAAAGCCCACACACAGCTTGGTTTTTACAAAGAAATCGAAACCAGAATCTTTACGAGTTCACGTGGTCACGCCCTAAAATTATAGGTTGTCAATGCACACGTAAACCACAAGTAAGTTAAGTACAAAACACTACACATTCGAATAAGAGCTGTACTAAAAATTATGAAAAGTAAATAAAATGACTTTCTGCAGCTTAGAAGGTTCGAACTCGGGACGGACACGTTAAAAAGACTTTAATTATTATTTTTTTCTAAAGACTTTAAATTTACCATTGGACTATGGCTAATTTAATGAAATTTAGGACCAAAATATACTATACAAATAAAAGGGCCGCAAGAACCAGCTTGCTTTGCTTGCTCTCAAAACCAGCTCTGACTCGAATCAAATCACCTCTATTTTTTACCATCTCCTTTTTGACTTACATATCATGTTATGGTGTATCTAGAACTAGATTAGGCCCCATGTATACGCAGGTTTATTATACAATTTTTGAAATAAATTATAGAAAAATATTAAATAAATTTGACACTTAAAAAGTAAGTAGATTAATATTAAACCCCAATAAAAGACCTATAAATAATATTATATTTGGTAATATGTTTATATTTTTACTATAATTGACATATATTCTGAATTCATGATACAAAAATGAATTAATTTGTTATCCTTTTACTTTTATCTAAAACTGAAAGACGTACACATGTGTAAGTGTGATTGATTGATTAATTCGTGAAAATTTTATTATTTCATTGAAGAGATTCCGGTTGATGATTTTTTTTTATAATATTTTTTTACCTAACAAAAAAAATAAACTATTAAAATTAGAATATCAGTTCATTATAAATTTTTCCTTTTAATATTATTTAGTTACTTGATAATTATTTTATTATTTTTCTAATTATTTTGTTAGTTTTGTTTTTTTATTTTATACATTTTTCCAATTTTCTTGTGTTAACACTTGTTTTCAAAATATTAGACACAAGTAGCAACAATAATTTTGATTTGGATCCAAAGTTAAATATTCTTCGTATCATGAACTTTCAAATACATTATATTTATTTCTTAATGAGAGAGAAGTTTAAACAAAAGATAGATTCACACAATTAAATCATAAAAGCTATAGCTTACTATATATTACTCTCTCTGTCCCATATTATAAGCACTTGGTCAAAATGTATCTGAAAAAAGGTGGATGTATCTGGATGGAATAGAGGGAGTATTATTATTTTTTTCTTTTCGTATTTGAAATATGTTTTACTTTTCCTTTTCATAACAGATGTAACAACTTCTTTTTTTCCGTTTTTTTTTCTTTTCTTAATGAAAGTTTTTTTTCCCTCCTTTTCTTAATAAGATATATATCAATATAATATGTTACTAACATTTTCATCAAGTAATAGAAGTTTTTGATCAGCAGACTGCAGATTAAAATTACAAATTCCTTCGGCCATCTGATCTCTAAAATTTTGAAGTAGTGAATGATGCACAAAAACTTGAATTGTGTTTTACTGTTTCAAACAAAAGTAAAACTTTAATGTTAATCAATGTTATAATAAGATTATCTATATCAATATAATAAGATGTTACTAACCTTTTCATCAAGTAAGAGAAGCTCAACTCCCATAAGATTTTTTTTTGTTTTTTTTGTTTTTTTTATGATTTCTAGCTTCCCACTTTCAAATAACACGCACTATAGTACGGCGATAATTTCGATCCAATTAACCTAGAGTCAAATAATCTCCAATGTTCTCTTGAACTTTCAAAGACATGATTTCAAAATTAGAGAAAGAGAATCAAAGAGATTTGCTGAATTTGCTTTGATGAGTTTGTGAATGAGAAAAGGAGAATACAGTAGCTCTCTTTTTATAGGGGGTTCATGTAACCAATTTCATACAGTTTTATGATATTTAGTTTACATACCTATTTCATATACTAATAGGATTTTTTAAAATAGGAGTTGATGTAACCTATTCCATACAGTTTTAGGATATTTAGTTTACATATCTATTCCATATTTTATAAAAATCATAGGTGTCGCAACCACATCGCGCGCATCCAACTTTATATAATAAGATTATAAATAAAGTATACATGTATCAAATCACCTCTCTTTTCATACATGATACGTCTCTTCTTATTTAAATGATAGATAATGATATAATCCAATTTTTAGGTACGTCACATTATCTTATTTTTGTGATATAATCCAATTTTTAGGTACGTCAAATTATCTTATTTTTGTGTATCATATGTAGGAATCAAGGAACCAACCTAACGTGCTTAAGTACATTTATATTTTTATAGGGAAACATATCAATTAAAAGATTCTGAACCAAACCCTAGCCAACGAAAGTTTCAAACTTGTGGAATCATGCAAACTTGAATAAGCTTGCAAAGTATATATATATACTAGGTATTTTACCCGCGTTACACGCGGGTTCCATGTTTATTTTCAAAAATAAAAACACATTAGGTATTTTCTAAATTTTCAATTTTTTTTTAAAAATTCATGGAAACAAATGCTTTATTTTTTTTCTTTTTAAATATTTTTAAACTTTATTTTATAATTATAATTTCTTATTTTTTGAATCTTTATATTTTAAATATTAATAAATCATTTTCTTGTATAATTAGTCACGGTAATAAAAAGAATTTTATTTATGATAATTTCTGAATAAAAAGATATTACAAATCTTTCTCTTATTTTTTCGTAAAGCATAAAGACCTGATCACCGGAGAAATTACGTTAATCCTTAAAGTTTATTTTCCTACTGTTTTCAGTAGAGTATACATAATTAAATCTCCAATTTTCGGTTCAGAAATCTGGTTTTGTCATATTTTGGGCCTAGTTATCACTTTGAAATTAAAAATTCATTACTTTCATCTTCTAGATGCAAATATGAAGATTCAACAATGCAACTCTTTTGCCACTGTGTTTTCAAAAATCTTAACTTAAATCTCACTTCTAAACCAATTTCGTCAATTTCCTAAATCCCTACATCCCTATTATCTATCTACCTCTCCTCTTCTTTAATTATATGCACACTACCAAGCATTTTGTTTCAAAATTTTAAAGATTGCATGTCATTGAAGGTGACGATTCATACCAAATCCTCTTAATCCCAAATCTTTTGAATAATTTATAAACATCCACTAATTATAGTTAATTGGCTGCAGGTTTCACCAATCATATTTCTTTGAGGTATTATCTAAACTCAATTTTCCATATACCATTTTGTTTTATTTCGAGTCCTATTTGAATCTGGATCTATCAAATATATTACAACCTCTAATTACATTGGTTTCTTCCATAAATACCTAATATTCAATCGTTGATAATTATTGGTTTGTTGAATTTTTGTTGGCAATAAATAATATTAGTTTCTTTAGATATATACTAAAATGATAAGCAGAAGATTTTTTTTTTCCCATGAACATTAGATATAGTCAATTTCTTGTAGCTTGGTTAGATCTTGTTTTGGCATGTTTTTGAACTTAGCTAGTGAACGTTTATACTGGTCCAGTTTCCAGTTATTCAATAGCTTTCCAAAAACTAAAGATAGTTACAATTTGTATCTTCTACATATCTTCAAAACAAAATATTCTTTCCACTTTAATATATGATTATGGTGCATGTAAATCAACAAATTAATAATATTTTGATTCTTAGATACAAATAAATTTTATTTGGTTTATGTTAATATATATTTACATATAAATTTCTTCTAAAAACAAACGAATTTGTAACATATATATATTTTTTAAATAATAAAATGAACATGTAACATATTAACAATGTATAATATTAAACATTCTATATTTTATATATTAAAAAACGAAATTAAAAATAAATAAAAAATTCAAAGGAAGTTAGTTTCCTTTTTATGTCATTAGAAAATTTATATTTTCTATTTTATAAACATTTTAATATGAATAAAAAATAGAGTTAAATATTTAGAAAATTCATAATAACAATAAAAAAAGGAAATTATTCTAAGATATTTATGTTAACCAATCAAATTCAATTTTAGAATCCTACGTAGACACCTTTAGAGGCATATTGGGTTCTTCTAAAAACAAACTAATTTGTAACATATTTTTTTCAAAATAATAAATTGAACATGTAACATATTATTAACAATGTATAATTTTAAACATTCTATATTTTATATATTAAAAAAACGAAATTAAAAATAAATAAAAAATTCAAAGGAATTTAGTTTCTTTTTTATGCCATTAGAAAATTTATATTTTCTATTTTACAAACACATTAATATGAATAAAAAATAGAGTTAAGTATTTAGGAAATTCATAATAACAATAAAAAAGGAAATTATTCTAATATGCTTATGTGGACCAATCAAATTCAATTTTAGAATCCTATGTGGACACCTTTAGAAGCATATAGGGTCAACTTTTATTAGTAACTAGATTAGGCCCCGCGTATACGCGGGTTTATTATACATTTTTGAAATAAATCATATTCACTCTTTAAAAGTAAGTAGATAAATATTAAAACCCCGATAAAAGATCTCTAAATAATATTAGATTGGTAATCTTTTTATATTTTTATTATAATTAACATATTTTCTGAATTCATGATACCAAAAATGAATGAATTTGTTATCTTTTTACTTTTATCTAAAATTGAAAGACTTACACATGTGTAAGTTTGATTGATTGATTAATTCGTGATTTTTTATTATTCCATTAAAGAGATTTCGGTTGATGAAAATTTTTTTTTCCAAATATTTTTTTACCTAACAAAAAAATTAAACTATTAAAATTAGAATATCAGTTCATCATAATTTTTTCCTGTTAATATTAGTTAGTTGCTTGATAATTATTTTAGTAGTTTTCTATTTTTATTGTTTTTTTCAACTTATTTTTTGACTCATGCCATTATAAAATTTCATTTCCATTATTAGTTAGTTGTTTTCTAATTATTTTGATTTTTTTTTCTTTCTTTTTTTTTTCCTTTTCTTAAAAGTTATTTTTCCTCCTTTTTTAATAAGGTATATATTAATATAATATGTTACCAACCTTTTCATCAAGTAATAGAAGTTTTTTTATGAGGAGACTGCAGATTAAAATCACAAATTTCGATGATCTTTCCTTCGGCCATCTGATCTCAGAAATCTTGAATTGTGTTTTCCTGTTTCAAACAATGTAAAACTTTAATGTTAATCAATGTTATAATAAGATTATCTATATCAATATAATAAGATGTTAAAAGAATTAAAGAGATCTGCTGAATTTGCTTTGATGAGTTTGTGAATGAGAAAAAAAGAATACATTAGCTCTCTTTTTATGGGGGTTCATGTAACCAATTTCATTTAGTTTTATGATATTTAGTTTCATACCTATTTCATGTACTAATAGGATTTTTTTAAATAGGGGTTTATATAACCTATATTCCATACAGTTTTAGGATATTTAGTTTACATACCTATTCCATGTACTAATAAATATTTTTATTACATTATTTTTCATTTATTATATAAATTTTCGTTTTTATTATAAAATATTAAAATTTTCCCTTAAATTTTTTTTTTCTTTTTCCTAATACATGTGTCACGATCTTAACGGACATAACACTAAAAGTGACACATGTCATAATCCTATATTTTATAAAAATCTTATGTGTCGCAACCACGTTGTGCGCATCCAGCTTTATATAATAAGATAGATACTAATAATCATGTAATGTAAAAGTATGACAAAATCACCATAATATCAATTAAATATGTAGAATAGATAAGATATTACAACATTAAACCAAAATAAAATAAATGATTATTGATAAATATTAATTCGACATCGCATATAAGAAAATCTGCAAACTGAAATAAAACCGAACATAAAAATAGCTGATACTTGATGATATAGAAGCAGTGCCGATTAGCCACAATTAGGCAGGCTCAATCCGTCCGAGGTTGGGGATGCAAGTGCGAAACCATTTAAAAATAACATAGCCCATGAGGATCAACATGCCCACCATTAATCTGAGGGTTACAATAAAGTCAGCGTTCATATTGTTTCTTGATCACCACACACACCACAAAGTTTTACTATTTCAGTAGTATTTCTTATTCTTTTTTCTTTTTCTTCTTCTCTGTAGGGCAAATTATATATATGTATCGTCAACACAAAAATCACATGTTTTTTCTAACTAAATCTTTGAAAATGTGAATGTTTCCCATTTTTTCATTAAACTAAGGACATTATTAACCATAACAGTTTGGAAATTTTACATTTGCCCAACCGTTTAATTTTATATTTTGGAAATTTTACATTTCCCCAACCGTAGTAGAGTAACTAATGGGCCCAAGATATAAAGCCCAAATGGAGCCCCTTTCTCCTTTCTCGTCCCACGCAGTAAATTCTCATTTACACTAGTAGTGGGGAAAGGAGTTCATGGCGATTTCTTTCACATTTTTTACCTTTTCTAATTACAGCTCCAAAAAGCAGTTTCTTCACCTTCACGAGCATAGTGGTGGAGATGGAGTTCTCCATTTTTCATCACCTCAGAGTTCTCTTCTTCTTCTTCACATTGTCTTCTTACAGTTTTGTTCTTCGTGGAGACAACATCACTTCCGCAGGAAACTTGTCCCTGAGAAACAGAGTCCGAAACAGAGACAAAAGCTCTGTTCTTCTTGTTGATGTCCGTAGCTTTGGTGCTCGAGCTAATGACCACAGAGATCACACCAAGGTTCTTTTTCTTTAGATTAATCCATTCTAACGGAATTGTTAATCACGAGAAATTAGCTAATCCATTTGAGATATTATTAAAGGCCTTTGTAGCAGCATGGGACAAAGCATGTAAATCATCTTCAAGCTCTGTAGATCTAATAATCCCAAGAGGTGAATTCCATGTTGGTCCTCTCAGATTCTCTGGTCCTTGCACTAACGTATCTAATCTCACTGTTCGAGTTAAGGTAAGTTAAAACTCTCTCTCCCTCTCAATGTCTTTCTATGGATCTGTCTTTAAAGGTTTCTTGCTGCCTACGTAAATGAATTAGGGCAATCTCAAGGCATCAACCGATCTGTCAAAGTACAGATCAGGCGGTGGTTGGATTGAGTTTGGATGGATAAACGGTTTAACTCTGACCGGAGGAGGAACATTTGACGGTCAAGGCGCCGTCGCTTGGCCGTTTAATAAATGTACTACCGATTCTAACTGCAAACTCCTCCCAACAGTGAGTAAAAAATCAAAATTTCTTTGAGTTTGATCATAAAGTTGTCTCCTTTTTAATGATTTCTCTGTTGATCTTCAGAGCTTGAAGTTTGTGGGGATGAACAGAACAGTTGTAAGAAGGATAAGCTCAGTGAACAGCAAATTCTTTCACATAGCACTAGTAGAGTGCAGAGACTTCAAAGGCACGAGACTCAACATCACTGCTCCTTCTGATAGTCCAAACACTGATGGTATCCACATCGAACGCAGCTCAAATGTTTACTTCTCGCGTTCGCATATCGCAACTGGAGATGATTGCGTCTCTATAGGACAAGGAAACTCTCAGATCACAATCACAAGTATCAAATGTGGACCAGGACATGGTATCAGGTAACTAAAAAATGTTATGTCCTAAGTCTTTTTTTTTGTTACCATTGCTTCTGTAGAGTTGTTTAAACGGTTTGTGTTTTCTTGCGTTTGAAGCGTTGGGAGTTTAGGGAGATATCCAAATGAGAAAGATGTGAAGGGGCTTGTGGTGAGGGATTGCAAGATGAGCGGTACTACGAATGGGATAAGGATCAAAACTTGGGCTGATTCTCCTGGTCTAAGTGCAGCTACCAACATGACTTTTGAGAACATTGTTATGAACAATGTGACTAATCCAATCATCATTGATCAGTCTTACTGTCCTTTCTCTTCTTGCACTTCAAATGTGAGTCTTCTACTAACATTAAAAATATCTAGCTAGTTCTCTAGCTTGCAAAACTAAATGGTGATTAGTACCGGTATGAGAGCAGTGTGTTGATTCATTTACTATACGTGTAGGTACCGTCAAAGGTGAAGCTGAGTGAGATATACTTCAAGAACATAAGAGGAACATCATCGTCGAGGGTCGCTGTGCAGCTGCATTGTAGCAGAGGAATGCCATGCAAGAAAGTGTACTTAGAGAACGTTCATCTTTCTCTTTCTTCTTCTGCTGTTGGAGGAAGTGAAAAGAAACAGAGCAGAAACATAGGAAGTGAAGCTGTATCTTCTTCTTGTAGATACGTTAGAGCTAAATACATTGGGACTCAAATCCCACCTCCATGTCACTATTGATCATCATCATGAAATTAAAATGTTCTTGTAATTTTTCTATGCTTTGTTTTGGCCTTTTGGGACAAATTTTCTTCATATGGGTTATGTAAAGTTGGAGACTTTTGTTAAGATAATTCGATAGCATCCTAAAGAAAAGTCTTGGCTAATCCAATTACAGCATTATCTATAAGCTCCTGAATGCTATCGAATTATGAATGCGTTATAGCGTCCTAAAGAAAAATCTTGATATAATTATAGCATCATAAAGAAAAAATATTGGCTAATATTATGAATGTTATTGAATTATAGAAAAATCTAGATTGATTAGGAATAATTGTTAAAATAGATCGAGACATTATAGCATTATTATCCTTTGAGTTTTGATACATAACCATATTATAAGCTCATGAGTAGTAGGGTAGTAGCAATAGGAAGTTCCAGCATAATTATTAGCTTACCCGAAGAGACAAGGATTCTACACTCTGTTGGGGATACTTTCGAGTATATCTGAGGAAACAATCAATCTCTTGCTTAAGGGATCTTATATTTCTTATTGGCTTGTTTGGTCTTTCTACTATTCTTATGGAGCGTTCATGAAAATAGCCCAATAAATGGATTTAAAGTGGGCATTTGACAAAAATAGTAAGATATTGCAAAGCATGCATCGAAATATATAAACATGGCTCACCATAGTTTAAAGAGTATATTAGGAAAATGGGTAGTTTTTAAGATTTAATTAGGAAAGTGGGGTAGAAGATGTTTTTTATTAGGAAAGTAGGTAAGAGAGTGTGCATAAACACACCATTTTGACACATTTAGCCCTCTTTCTTAGAGAGATAGAGATAAAGAAGTTGGGAAGGTAAGAGAGAGACAAGAACAACAAAAAGTGGGGCGAAATTGTTTCCCAAACTGCAAGTGCATTTCACGCGGGGCCGAGGAGAGAGGAGATGTTTGGTGGGTGAAATTTCTGTAAAAGTAAACCGGGTCTAACATTTAGACCGAAAATTGAGTGATGGGCTTCTGAAAACGAGTAGCTAAATTCGAGTTTGTGAAAGCCCAAAAGAAATGGCGAGAGTTCCCATAAAGCAAATGTAATTATTCAGCAGTACAAGTTGAGTGAAACAGTAAAGCGCGGCAAACAACAGCTATGGTAGATATTTTCCATTAAAAATTAATTAAAAATTGGGTTTGGATCACTTTACCAAATCCTGTAAGGTTCACCAACGAAAACGGAACAAAACAGGGTAAAACATAACCCTGTTCCGTTCATAGGCGCAGCAAAACATGAATCGGCAGACTACAGGGAAGGGGAAGATGACGGCCACATTAGACCCCGACGAAGGTACTGTATACGATAACCTCCGTACACCTTTGTTTAGATAAGGCCGAGTGATTAAACGTGTTCTGTAATGTATAGGTTTTGGGAATGGGAACCTCGTGGTGATGGCTGGCCGGTGGATAATATACTGGACGGGAGTGTGGGATTTCAAGATTGATAAGTCTAGGATGGGGAGGAAAATAAATGTCGTTGGTTTACAGAGTATTTTCGCGTTTAGGGAAACAGTTGCCGCGGCTTATGGTGTAGATGCCCGTCCTGAATGTCTAGAGCTTTCATATTGGCTAGAGGATCCGCTTGCTGAGTTGAATGGAGGTGGGAGTAAACCTGTGCATATAGAGAGTACGAAAGACTTTCTAATGTTCAAGGCGCTGCACAAAGCAGAAAACTCAATCAACATATGCGTGACTTTGAAAAATTATGTTGGGGAAGAGTTCCGCTTTTAGGGGGAAAGGGAAGGCATCGCTTCAGAGCTAGCAAGGAGAAGAGGGACGTCAGGTCTGATTTGTGGCGATAAGCGGAGCGTTGAAGGGGTTTCTGAGATTGGTAGTACAAGAGAAGGGTTACGTACTAGAGAGTTGAGAGGAGAAAGCTCCGGAGGAACTGGTGACAGAAGAACGCAAGTGCAGCTAACGGAAGACGAAATTTTTCTTATGCACGTGGAGGAGTTAGAAGCTTTAGAATTGCGTAGATTGAGGGACGGACCTCCGAAATGTTTATTGCAAGTAGAAGGCGTGAAAGAAGCTTTGGTTGTAGAAGCAGAAACCACAACTGTGGGTGATAAAAACATCAACAATTCTGGGGCTCCTGGCAGACAAAACATACGGGAAGACGGAGTAGAACATAAAGAATCAGAGGAGGATGAGAAAGGCAAAGAGGAAGGTGAAGAGGAAGAGGAGGGAGAAGAAGATGAAGACGACGACGATGAGGATTATGAAGAAGGGGATGACGAACCTGAAGAAGAGGGGGATGATGATGATGGAGATGCTGCAGAAGGTTATGATGATGTGGTGAGCGATGGTGTAGATTACCCTTGGGATTTCTGGGACAATTTTTGTCGTCAGGACGGAAAGGACAAAAATGACGATGATGATTTCGTTGATGAACCACCACACTTCTCATCTCGGTATGTGAAATTAACACAATATCATGAAAGCGATGGAGATAGAGACATACATTTCTCGGAGGGGCTATGGAACAAAAGCTCAAGGAACACAACCTCTGGTGATGGTGAAAGAGTCGAGGAGGTTGTGGAAGAGCCAGGGGTGATGCCTCAGAAGCATACAAGTACAGAGAGAGTGGAGGGAGGTGATGAACCAATATTAGTAACCCCACCAGAGAAGACAGAAAGAAATGTCTCACATGGGAAAAAATCGCAAATCCCGTTAGGAGGCAAAGGAGTGACTTCTGAAGAATGGGACGAATTTGTTGATCCTCCTCCTCTTAGGTGTTCAGGTGGGGAATCAGGTCGCCATGATAACGGTGGCCGTGCTCTGATGAAAGGGATGCGGCTGGTAGACGTTTACGGATATAAAGATATAGAACCAATGTTTAATGACATGGAAATGACGATTGCGAAGGCGGGCGACTTCGATTTGACTTATGAGGATGATGCCATCTACGTCGGCAAAATGTTCAACTACAAAGACCACTTCAAGATAACATTGGCCATTCATGCTATAAAAAAGATGTTTCGTTTCAAATGGCACTGCCATGCGAAGTTATACACGGTTGGGAAATGCATTGACCCACTATGCGAGTGGAGGGTAATGGCGCATACAATAGGTGATTCAAACCGGTATGACGTGAGAAAGGCGAATTTGGTGCATACTTGTGATGCAGATACAAGAGGGAAGTTCTCCAAGCATGCAACAGCGAAAGTTATAGCTGCCTTGTTAAGATCTAAGTATGTGAGTAGTACTGGCCCACGGGCTAAAGATTTGCCGGATGCCGTTCTTAGGAGCATGGTATCTATGCTACTTACTGGAAGTGCTGGAAAGCGAAAGAGTTGGCCATCGCGTTGGCACAGGGAACGGAAGAGAGCTCGTATAAGTTTCTCCCAACATATTTGTAAGTGCTTAAGTATGCTAATCCAGGGTCAATAACTCACTTACACACAGAAGTTGACGAAGAGGGACTTACAAGGTTTAAGTACTCATTCATGGCGCTGAAGGCTTGTATCGACGGATGGAAACATCTCAGAAAGGTGGTTGTGGTGGATGGGACGCACATGTTTGGGAAATTCAGAGGTTGTCTCCTGAGGGCTAGTGGTCAAGACGCCAATTTCCAGATATTCCCTATTGCTTTTGCGGTGGTAGACGGTAAGAACGATGCTTCTTGGAGTTGGTTTTTTTCAAAGTTAGTTGACATTATTGAGGATTGTCCGGAGCTCACCATCATTTCGGATAGATGTCCATCAATCAAACCTGCTAAGTTGGAATGGTTTCCCAACGCACACCACGGCTTTTGTCTCGTACACATCCAGCGAAATGTACACAAATACCACAAAAGGCGAAAACAGAGAGAGATTGTTGGGATGGTTGGAGAGGCGTTCACGGTTGGTAAATTCAATGAACTATACGAGTTACTTAAGTTAGCGGACTTTGAATGCTGGGAGTTTATGGAGAAAATAGACAAAGCTCAGTGGACGCGAGCATTTTCCCTCGGGAATAGATACAATTTAATGTCTAGCAATATCGCCGAGTCTCTAAACCATGCTCTGTTTCCGGCGAGGGACAGTCCTATCGTCTCGTTACTTGAGTTCATCAGGCGGATGCTTAGCAGGTGGTTTGAAAGCCGGCGTGGTACCATTAAGAAGATGGCCGGGGATATTCCTAAAGAAGTTGATAAGGAGCTCCTAAAGCAGCTGGAAATGTCTCGTGGACTACCTGTTTTATCGTTGGGCGGATGGAACTTCGAGGTTATATCAGCTAGTGGAGCGCACCGACTTGTTTCACTTGATGGAAAGACATGCAGCTGTCGTGAATTCCAAACTCTCAGAATTCCGTGTCGGCATGCCATGGCAGCGGCCACGTCCTGCAACTTGTCGTATAAAACTTTGGTTGATGTAATCCACAAGAAACCAAAGTGGACGGCAACATTAGAAGGTATTATACTACCTCTCCTTGATCCAGATGACCTGGTTCTCCCGACAGATGTTGTAGATGCACCGATCACACATCATCCTAGGTTAAAGCGGCCATTTGGCAGACCACCAAAGAAGAGGAAATTTTCTGAAGGAGAATATCCGGTAAAACATCATATACCCTAATATAATCTTGCCCGTGTTTTATTTCATGTATTTATAAATGAGTTCTCTTTATAAATATAAAATTTGCTTCTTAACAGGGGGCTGTTAAGAAGAAAAGGCCAAACAAGTGCGGAACTTGTGGAATTGCAGGACACAACCGCGTTACCTGCAAATCTCCTTTGAAGTGATGTGGTCTACGGTATTCTAGTGTACCGGTATTTTGGTGTACGATATTTTCGAACGGTTTTTGGTGTACTGTATTTGGTGTACGGTATTTGTTCGTGTACGCGTACTTTGGTGTACTGTATTTGGTGTACGCGGATGTTTGGTGTACGGTATTTTTTAATGTTTATTTTGGTGTACGATTATTTCGTGTACGCGTATGGTGTACGTATTGTTGTCTTACTATTGTTGTCGTGTATTTTGCCTGACGGTATTGTTGTCTCTTGCGTATTTTTGTGTACTTTCTCTACTTTGTTTATCTCTTTAAACACTAATGCTTGCTGGTTTAGGGTTTTGGTTTTTATGGTTTAAACACTAATGCTTGCTGGTTTAAAAAGGTTTTTATGGTTTGCCTTGTTTTAGTCTTTAGGAACATCTAAAATTGGTTTAAGATGCCTTTTAAGGTTTGCCACGCATTTTTCGTATCTCTCAAGGTTTAGGGTCCCAGACAACTTTACGGTTTAGGGTATAGGGTATAGAGTATACGGCACAAATTATAGTGGCTCCCGATAATCTTTCTAATAAATGTTGTTTGCATGGTAAAATGTTGGCAGTTCGAAAGAAATTATAAATCTTTTGTTTTCTTCTTACCATACAGTTTATTTTATAAATTACAAAACTAAGAACATAACATCCAACACAACGGAAAATATGGAAAACAGATTTATTAGAGCATGCTATAGACGCGTCTTGCGGACCAATATATGGAGCAGGTGTTGCAAATACGTGGGGTTTGGCGATGTTCGAAAACGCAGGGAGGCATAAGATCCGGTGGATACGTGAAGGAAGAAATGTTACGACCAAAATATGATGGACAAAATGATGAAATCTGACGAGTCAGGCAGATGCCGAGGGATCTTGCTCTGTCTGAGTTGAGCGGAGCGTGTTTCTCGGCAAATATCCGCAACAACATACCAGCATCTTCTTCATCCCCTGAAAGTATCGACAAAATTGCCGCCGCAAGAACGGAATATGGGTCCTCTGTTCCGTTTGACTCCATCAGAATGATGGCGCGATATAAGTTTCCAGAGACCGCAAGCCGGAGAGCATCAAAGTATGTTGCCTGTCGATTTCGGCTACGAAGACACTTTTCAAAGAATGGCCGACCCTTAATTCCTCTTTCCCCAAGTAATATATCCATTGGCTCAGCGCAAAGACTGGTGAGATTGCACATACGGAGAACGTTATCCGAAAATACCAACCGATTAGACCGCTTACCGGCTAGAATGAAAGGGACGAGGTACTAGAACTGATCCTCACCGACCTTTTCAATAATCGTGGACAAAATTTCATCTGGTATATCAGGTAATGTCATTTGAGGATGAATGTTTAATGGAGAAGGAATGTAACGAATTGTGTTTTGTGGTGGAAACGTGTTTGCAAGTCTTAATATAGGAGAGAACGGTTGTGGTGGAAGTAAATTTTATCTTTTTAGGTAGGTAGTACCATAAATATTTGTCCAGCTGCATTACTTCTACGAGAAATGAAATATTAGTTTGGGGAGGTGGGAATTATAACAAGTAATAAATGCTCAATTTCACATTTTACTTGAATAGTAGTTTCTCTCCTACAATCGACATTAACAACTACAATCGAAATAGTAAAAATATGTGCATTACAACATCGAACATATTTGTAATGCACAAACCACATGAAACAGAGGCTGCACCTTTTTGGGAAAACATGGTCGTCAGCGCAATCAGGGATTCTCACGGCGTCATCGTCAGAGTAAGAAAAAACATCATCGTACGAGTCAAGGTAAGGTGGGTTTAGGGATGAAATATCGTCCATCACTTAGCAACCAATGGTTATTGCTCCTTCTTCATGAAGATGGCCGTGGCTACTGATAAATACTTTGAACAACTTACTTGCGGAACAATCATCCCCGGAACACGCACAACACAAGGCGGCTGCAAGCGTTGATTTGGGGTGATTAAATCCGTTTGACTCCAGTAACTCTATTCCTCCATCCATGTCCCTCAGGTGGATGATGCGGTTTAGAGCTTCAACATAATTTGCGACTGGGTTCGCAGAACGTAAACACTTATCGAAGAAACATCTTGCCTTACCCCCTTCAAGTATGTCCTCATGATTCTCCATGTATAGCGACTGTATGTTACATGTCCGTAAGAGATCTTCCTTATAGACAAGGCGAAGAGCCCTCTTACCCGCACGGAGCAAAGAACCAAGGTTCTTTGCATCACACTCGCCAACGGCCTTGAAAATAGTGTAGAGAATTTCATCCGGTAAGTATGGTATTTCCATTTCAAAGAGTGGTTTTTGTATATCAATGATATCTTCTTCTCCTCAATTTAATAGTCAATATTTATAGAGTGGGTTTGAGGAGTGCATTTACTGCAGTCTACCTAATTATCTTGACAATTGATTACAGTTGGCCTTTAACAGAAACGTATTATAACGATAATATCACATTAAACATAAGGTATTGTTTAGGTAGGAGAACAACATATTCAATAAAAATGCAATAGCTTACACCAAAACAAGTGGTGTACAACTAAAAAGGGATACAATAAGGAATAACATACTAGAAGACCATAAAAACACAAATCCGAGGGTTTTACGCATACCCTAAAAACACATATCCGAGGCTTAACGCATACCCTAAAAACACAAATCCGAGCCTTGTACCATCCGAAAACAATCATACAAATAACCGCCGTTCCATTACCGGTTATAAATTTCATGTACCGTATGCTCCGTTCATTGCGGCTCCGACGATGACCCCCACGGCTGCGATTACGATCCCGCCGAAACACAAAAGCTTAGGGAGAGGATACTTTGGTAACTGTGATGGGATTTCCTCACTCATACCACCAATCCCCCTATGAGCACTCAATTTAGATTCCGCAGCCGCCGTGAGTTGCTTGTAGTAATCCACCTCCGTTTTAAGGGCCCGGATTCTGTCTTGCGCTTTGATTAGAGCCAACTTCTGCCATCCATGGGGTGGTTCGGAGTCCACCCAGCGAAAGTAGTCACACCCGCGTTCAAACCGGTTGTTGACAATAGGGCACTTGTAAAACTCACGCCCTGGGTTCTGATTAGTCCACGCCGTCAGGATAATCGGTGTTTCCAAGCACTAACAGTGGGGAGTAACCGGGTTTCCCTGATTTGCTACGATCTGGGCATCAGCGCCGGTGGAGGAGGAGGAACGACAATCCATGTTTGCAGTTCTTTTCAGTAAGCGAATGAAGAGACGAATAGAACGACAGATTTGCCGGATCTTATAGATTAAAGAGTACACTACAAAGGATAAAGAAAAATTAAAATTTCAAAACAATGACAGATGGCCATGCCATATCCAAGGAAATAATTATAATCTCTTTTAATTTCATCTCTCCACATGGTAAAAGTTGGGATGAGTTGACGGATGGAACAGCTCGGCCTTTACCAAGGAAATTCAAATCTTCTCTTCATAGTTACCAAGGAAATTCAAAATCTGCAATTCATAATCTGCAATTCATTTCAGCCAAATGAATTTCAGATTATTGAAAAGTGGTTGTGGCCGACAGCGAAGCCTCGGAATACGCAAACCATCACAACCTAACTTATACCACAAATGAACAGTTCGCGGTTACAAACTTAGTTTATTGGTTTTGATATCTTGTTCGGTCCGATCATAGTCACTAACCTTGTGTAGTTACAATCAAACCGAAAGCACATTATTGTTTGTATTTCTCGGTTTAAAACTTGCTAATATAGTGAAGAAGAAAACAATATTTTGCTAATATAGTGCGAAGAAAATATTTTCTGGCAACGTGAACACTTATCATACGAGATCTAGAAGCAAAAAAGGAGCTCCACCCCACGACGAAACCAGACTCCGACTCTTCCGAGTCCCCCAGCGTACCGGAATTACCTGACGATGTCCTCACCAGAATTATATCTCTAAGAGCCAACAACTCTGTCGTTGTTCTACGACCTTTTGTTCGCGCCGGAGGTCGGACCAGACGTCTAGTGTACACACCAACAGTACTTCGTAATTGCAACTTCCACCCTCTGTTTTTCCGCGACCCCGATAGCATTCTCAACCACAATGGGAGGGCCCGACACATCTTCGAAGCTGCTATTCGAGAAGGAAATCAACAGGCCGTTTACTTCGAGTCTCTTAATCGAGTAGTGATCCACGAAGATTATGATGGGGGATTTAGCATGCTCGACGAAATCGCACCAACCTGTCTGACCGGAGCACTGGCATCCGCTATTTTATGCGTATGCTTAGGACATACGACAAAAGCAAGCGAGATGTTCCAATTGTTCACCAATCTAACCGGAATCATAATATACGAGGCCAATGCTCGTGCGTACGGAGATCAAGTATCGACGAACATCTTCTGGTTGAGCCGTAAAGCATTTAACATGTACATCTCCGACAGCTTCCAATTCCCGAACGACGACCACATTCATGTTCCTGATTGCACATATGACCACATGTTCACCCTTGGTTGCAACAGGTGTTATATGCACCGGCTAGGATTACGTGTATGTACGCTTCTCACCTTTGTCGAGTAGACCGGAGATAGTTAAATGGGTCAACGGTTACGGTTGTAATATGCGTGTTTTTGGCTGTAATATGGAGGTTTTTCCTTCATCTCTGTATTATACTTCACTCGGTCACCGGATACTCTTTTCCACGCTGCAGAGCTTCATGTATTATAAGTACTTTTTCAAACGTTCTGTAGTTCTTTTCATATTTACGGTTTCTCCATTGCCATTCAAAGTGCCTGCAAATTGTCCAATATAAACAGGGGAAAATAAACATACACGAGTACTTGCATATCATGCGTACACATAAACATACGTTCTCTAATTATCAGCTTACCAAACCTTCGAAAACACACATAAACATAACGGACGAGTATTACATATGATACAAGTCTTTGTTCTCGTACACAAGTTACGTGGAACGGACAGCATTACTAGTTACTACACAAAGAGTATGTTTACTACATTACTAGTTACGTGACGTGGAACGGACAACGGATACAAACGTTACTTGGATAAGCTACATATCTTGGCCCCATCATTGGTTTGCTACGCCTGCATCCCCAACAAACTCTTCATAACAGTCCATCGCATATTTCTCTCGAAACCTATCCACATCTGCATCACTTATTAAACCAATTTCGTCACACCCTAATCCACAAGTGTGCATCTCTAAGAACTTGGCAGCACAAGGACCACAGTCCCCACTCCGTTTGTTTTGATATATACCATCAGCACGGGACCAAGTGTACGCCGCACCTCCCAGGTGCTTGGTAACCTCCCCCGGCAAGCATCGCTTCAGAATCGAGGGAAGGCCGACCACAACGGGTTCCATGTACCTCTCTACAACTCCGACTTTGTAGTTGTAGTCAACGAAAGGATCTAAAATCACTACGGAACTGCCCCGAAGGTCGATCACAAGCCCCACCCAGTGTTCGTTACCCCAGTTCATGGGGACATAGACGATATCGACGAAGCTACAAACGCTGTTTCCCCAGTCAAACTCACTCTGCTTCTCTGACTCTTTGAAGGCCGGAAACAAAGAAGTGATCAAACAAGTAAATGCAGGGTCCACAAATGCTGCTCTGTCTTTCAGTACAATCTCCCCTCTTCTTCGCCACAACATCGCCATTATGACTTGCATATGCTGCATTCCACGAAACACATACCATATCAAGTCGACACTTAATAGCAGCTTTCAACCACACAAACTTTAACATTCATGGGGATGTATAGTAAATCAAAATTCATCAACGCTTTATTACGCTTACCTCCGTCCCAATCCATCTCTGTCGCTTTGCGATGTCGAGGAAGAAGACATTAGTAACTGTGTGCCCCGTGACGATTGCGAACTCCCTGCAAAAGTGGATAATGGATAAGTTACTTTATGTAAATATATCAACATTAACTGCGGATCGTCCCATCTATCTATGACATGACATACTTCTCCTTTGCCGCTCTAAGCACCTTCTCAAATGTCTTGAAGTCATCCTTCGGAACACTCTGAATGGGAACATATTCGGGCTTAGATCTACTCGCAAACAGAGCTCTAAGTTTAGGATCAGCAGTGTACAGATGTCCAAGCTTCTCCGATCTTTGCGGGACACGTTTTGCCTCTGGTTTCTTAGGTGCTACAGACGTGCACTGCTCATTCGATTGACATGCTTCGTTTGTATCAGGCGTTACTTCCTCCTCATATGCCACCTGGTTGACGAGATTTTCCTCCATTTTGGTCCCCCACGCAGGTGTACAGAACCCGTGGTATAAAACCATCTGTAACTGCTGGCAGTTTCCAGAATCCGAACCTGTAATCTACACAAAAACAATCACCAAATCTCAATTATTAATCTACTCTGACAAATAAACACCTACTCACTTCCGCTCCCATCAAAATGTTAGCGATAATCACCTCTTTCAGAGGGAATGTAGATGGTCCAACACAACCTTCTCCACCTCCACGTTTCCTTTCCACATCTTCATTCGGCTCTTCCTCGCCTACTTCCGTCGAGCCTGCATGTTTTGCGCTACCATCTTCATCGTTCTACACCGTCTCCGCCTCGTCTGGCTTCTGCTTATCACTGCCTTTATCTTCCGATGACAGTAACACGCGACCTACTCCATCTTCCTCTTCACCATAACGCTTTGGCTGAACTTCAGCACTTGCTCCCACCATCACATCCGCATCCTTCTTTCCCAACTCACCACATTCCCCATCTGATGAAACTAATACCCCAACTCGTTCTTCTTCTTGACCAAAAACCTTAGCCTCAACTTCACAACTTCCTCCCACTATAACATCCCCATCCTTGTTTCCCAAATCACCCACTTTCACAACTTTACTACTTCCTCCCACCACCGCATCTGCATCCTCCTTTCCCAACTCATCGCCGTTCCCCGAATCCACTTTTTGATCAACTTGCGATAAGTCCAACGCTCCTTCATTGCCCCCGTAGTACTCCCACGTATCCCGCATTTCATCATCATCATCTTTATAGGAAAGTTCCCTGCACAAACCCTTCATTTTCCGCTTCTTATTTGACACATCTATTGTACCCACTACCTCCATTTTACGCTTCTCTCCAATATCACGAAGCCTAGTCGACCGCCTAACTAACTTCTCCGTTTCATCCTCAGCTTCATTATCCCTTTGACGACAGTCTTCTTTCAAGTCGTGAACAATCTTGACAGAGTTTTTCCCTCCATCACACCATTTCGACGACCCTCCTCCTTCGTCCTTCTTTTTCTCGTTCTGCAATACCACAGCATCCAGTATTTCCTTTTTGAACTCATTGAAAAGGTTAGAAATCCAAGGTTTCAACTCATCCAACATCGCTGCCACTACTTTCTCCGGTAAACTTTCCGCAACACTTTCTACTTTCTCAGGTTTCTGGCCTTGCTATTGTCCTTCTTCCGACCTACGCCCTTTCTTTGAGCTTTTTTTGATCTTTTTCTTGCCGCCGGTCCTTGTTTCCTCGGTCCTTTCCCTTGCTCCGTAGCTTCTGCTCTCTCATCATCCCCTGCTCTGGGTTCCTCCACATTCCCAGATGCCTCGCATCCTTGGAAATCAGAATGAGAAAATTTGTGACCTTCCCTCTTCAATTTGATCAACATTTCCACTTGCTCGTCCACAACCTCGTCATCCCACTCCAATTCTTTTTTTGCTTCGTCTTAAAAATTGGTAACCACAACCAACTGAAAGGGATAAAAATTAACAATTACTTCAATAACAGATATCAATGTTTATTAAAAATACTTGTGAAATCAGGTCTACACTACAACTAACGTGTACACTACAAATCATGCGTAGGCTCATGCGTACACTCTATAAGTCATGCTTACACTACAATTCCGATGTACACTAAAGATATTTAGTACACTACAAATCATGCGTACAATTAAGGCTCATGCGTACACTCTATAAGTCATGCGTACACTACAATTCCGATGTACACTAAAGATATTTAGTACACTACAACCATTTGCGTACGATACAGATCATGTGACATTAGAATTCCTGTGTACACTCAAAAAAGTGTATATTACAATTCCTGTGTACACTCAAAATAGTTTGCAACTCCTGTGTACACTAAAAATCTTTCACTGTGTACATCAAGAATATTTTGTACCCTACAGATTTTGCACTAGGAACTATCCTATACTAAAATTTCCGTATAATTAATTAATATCATCTCTACTTCAAATCATCTATCATGCGTACACTACAAAATCCGATGTAGACTAAACATATTTACTACACTACAACCATTTGCGTGCGATACAGATCATGTGTACATTACAATTCCTATGTACACTAAAAATTACAACTTTACAATTCCTATGTACACTCAAAATAGTTTGCAACTCCTGTTTACACTACAAATCTTTCACAATCCCTGTGTACATTCAAAATATTTTTCTGCCTCGTGATTTTCTACTAGGAACTATCCTATACTACAATTTCTGTATAATTAAATCTTAGAAACTACCCACTTTCCTAATATACTCTATAATTAATATCATTTGTACTTCAAATCATCTTTAGACTACGAAATATTTCAACTTCCAGTTACACCAAACCTTTGCTACAATCAATATCACATACTTCCACGTACTTCTAACATACTCTTTAAATGAAATTATGAGACTATTATTAGGATAGTATAAACATACCTCGGGGTCTTCTTCCACTTCGACTATGGAGTTAAGATAAAGAATTGTTTGCGTCTTCTCGCAGGCGGATGGATCCGTTAGAAATGTGTCCGTTTTCTCCGGTTGAGGAATTTGACGAACGAGCATCGGAATCGCTTCGAATGCAAACAGTTGCAGAGCTAAAGGAAAACCGAAACATGCACTTGTTTGCTGCCTCAGACGGGCACGCATCTCATCCAACGGATCTTCATCTCCGTCTAAGAACTCATGAGGTAGCGGTATGAATCTCGAAATTGTCATCACGTACGATTCTCTACCCCACGGATAGTCTAGAAAATACTCAATATCGCAGAGAATATCGACATATGCCGGTGTGATATATAGAGCTTTGTCCCGACATAGGAGGACACCATCCACTAAGATTATGAGTGCTAATGGCAACCGTTTCCACTCCGCCACATCCGGTGCCTTTAACATTGCTATCGCATCATCGACTGTTACGCTGGAATCTTTCCTGTTGAACAGGTCTGTCCACATCTTTGACATCTCCCCCGGTTTGGTTTGAGGCTGCCCTGTTCCTTCTTCATCATCTTCGGATCTTGGAAACTTCCCGCATTTAAGACCAGTAACGCGCTTAAACTCCACCAACGAGAATCGGATAGGATTGCCTCCGAAAACGGTCCACAATTCATGCTTCTTTTTGGTCACGAGCTGGCGGCCGAGAAGCGTGAATCAATTTCGCAGAATTTTGACAACGTCCAACATGAAGATTTAGCAGACCACCAAACTGGGTTTCCTTAAGTTGCTCCAATTCTTCCTTGCATGTTAACGCGGCTACAACCTCCCCAATCACATGTGCCTTTGCGTAGATGTTGAGCCTGTTGATTCCACTAGGATAGCAATGAACAGGGAAGAGTCTCCGAGGCAATTTCTCGCGAAGAAGGACTCCCGCATCTTCTGCCACACCGTCCGCACCTACATCTATCACGATTACGGGTTCCAATCAGAAATTCGAAAATTGATAATTTCCAATTTGAAATTGGCAATTACGAATTGGCAATTAGAAATTTCCAATTATAAATTCGAAAATTGATTATTTCCAATTACAGTTTCCAAAAATCAATTTGCCCAAATTGATTAAACTGAATCTCGTTTCGCGATTCTAATACTTATATCTTCCTTAAGTCATCGGGAGTTATGAGCATCACCTTCACTGTCGGACCATAGTCGGTGCTGATGGACACGGCTTCTTGTACTTCTTCTACTTGTTGTACTTGTTCTACAATCCGCGAATTGCTTCGGAGGGTTCTACCCGACGGTGGAGCAGGGGCCTGCGGTGGCTTCTTTCGACCGCGGTTCGATTTCGTTCTCCCACCGACCATTATCGCTCGAGAAGTTTAACCTAATTTGGGTTTCGATGTTTGTAATCGGCGGTCGGTGGCCCTTGATTCTTTAAGTGGGTTCACCTCAAACTTCCCCGACACGGGCTTGACACTTGTCAAACCCGATACACGCATTACATGCCCGGTTTAGGTCGGAAAAAGGGGGCACACGGTTCGACCAATTCGCAATGTGAAAATGATTTTGGATCTGACCGGCGCGTCAACACCCTATAAATTTCCCCCTTTTTAATTACTAATATTCGATTTATCTGAATGGCAAGTTTGTAATATGTGCGACATTTCGTGGGCTTTCAATAGGGTGTCCACAGTGAAATACCCACTTTCCCAATTAAAACATGTTTGTACCTAGTCCCACAATTAGAAACATAAAAACTACCCATACAACAAATTTCTCTTGTTAAAACTGCCTCTTCTATTGACTTTATGAACAACTTGTCTTCTAGAAAATCCAAGTTACAAGTTTACAACACAATTGAGTTACAAATCTAAACATGTTTAAGAACAACAAAAATATCTTCTAAATTTTTAAACTTTTACTAATACATTTGCAGCCGAAAAAAAGTTTACATGATTTTTAAAAGAAAAAAAGTAATGCGTGGATTGGTAATAAATTCACCAATAAAACATGAAGACAGTTTTAAGCTAAAAGAAAAAGAAAAAATACAAGATGAAACCACCTAACATATTTTAGTCTTTTGAGATCCAATTAGAGAAAAATAGACATGTGTGACTAGTAGTTAGTACCAAGTACCAACCCAACAATATCACAAGAACAATATGAAACATTTGAAATACAAACATTCATTTACTTAGAAGATAACGGATAAGAAACTATTGGTTAGGTAACATAAATTTGGTTAGTTTAAAGAGGAATGCGAATTCATTGGGGGTGATGGTTCATGTCAAGAGCACCATCTAACAATTTCCGGTGATAGATTGCACATAATATATCCATATAATAGTTATTATTATTTCACTAACTATATATTGATATAACTAGTAACAACATTTTTTATAAAATAATTATTTCTGCCTATGCATTTGCCTTTAAATAACTAATTAAGAACACATCATCTTTACTTGTTCCCTGAGATATTGCTCCCTCCGATTTCTATGATGGAAGTAGAATCAGAAACTCAAGAACTCCATATCCACGTCAATGGAGGTAAATAGTTTAACCCCTAAAGATTTAATGAATCAAACCATGGTATAGCTTCTTTGTGTTCTTATTTTACTTATGCCCTTGTTCTGTTTGTTCTGTTCCCATATGTTGATCAGAACCTGCAAGGAAATCTTCGACAGAACAGAGAAGTCACAACTACTCATGGAGGTTAAGAGTGTCTCTCTATGTCACTATTATCTTAGCTGGTGAAACAGTAGCCACTCTGTTAGGTAGACTTTACTACGACAAAGGAGGCAACAGCACGTGGCTGGAGACCTTGGTTCAGCTTCTTGGGTTTCCCTTAACCATTCCTTGCTATTATTTCATAAAGCCTGAGCCTTCCAAGCCTAAATCCACAACCAAGAAAACTAGTCCTTCCTTCTTGACACTATCTTTAGTGTACATTGGACTTGGCTTGCTTTCTGCTGGACATAGTGTTCTGTATTCCTTTGGATTGCTCTACCTTCCTGTTTCAACTTTCTCTTTGATCTCTGCGTCGCAGTTGGCTTTTAATGCTGTCTTTGCTTACTTCCTAAACTCACAAAAGTTCACACCTTTTATACTCAACTCACTTGTTCTCTTGACCACATCTTCAACACTTCTTGTCACCCAACCTGATCATGAGTCTTCTACTTCTAAGTCCTCAGCCAAATACAACTATGTGATAGGATACATATGCGCCATTGGTAGCTCAGCAGGGCATTCTCTGTTGCTTTCTTTAACAGATTACGCGTTCGAAAAGATCTTAAAGAAGCACACTTTCAAGGCGATTTTAGATATGGTTACATATCAGTCTTTGGTAGCTACTTGTGCAGTTTTGGTGGGACTTTTTGGCAGTGGTGGATGGAAAGTGTTGTTGAAAGAAATGGAAGAATTTAAGCTTGGGAGAAGCTCTTACCTTTTGATAACTGTTGGTTCGACGATATCATGGCAAGCGTTTTCTATTGGTAGTGTTGGTTTGGTTCTTGAAGTTTCGTCGCTTTTCTCAAATGTCATAAGCACTCTCAGTCTCCCTGTTGTTCCGGTTCTTGCTGTTGTGTTCTTCCGCGATGAGATGAGTGGAATCAAGTTGGTTGCAATGTTTTTGGCTATTTGGGGATTTGTTTCTTATGCTTACCAGCATTATGTTGATGATCTAAAACCAGAAGAAGAAGAGCTAAAGATTCCTCAACCTATAGAAGAAGAACAAGAAGAAAAAGAAGCTCAAGAAGATGACACTAATAACATTCATGTTTAGTCAAATATATCCAAGAACTAAGTTTTTGTAATTTTTAATAAAGCTTCATAATAAATGAGAAAAAGATTGGTTAGATGATAACAATAAGATGTAACAACTCTCCTAGAATAAATGAGATATTTTATATCGCAAAATAATGATTTTCTATAAATCATAAATGCAACCAAATATCTGATTTCACAAGAAAAGAGAGTTAATTACATTTATCATTTTATTTTGATTATATAACTTTTAAAAAATCTTTATGGATAAATATTTAGAATATTATTTCCTTAATTTTTATTTAATTGTATTTAACAATAGTGGATTTTAGATGAAAATATATACTTTGTTTCATTAATTAAAAACTTGTTGAAGGGAAATTTTTGTTCAAATTTCTCTCTTTTTCACTTTTCTTTTCATTGTCTAGATTCAATTAGATAAAATATTATTAAAAAAAGCAATTGGGTAATAAAACTTGGTGAAGATTAATAGATTTTATATGGAAATATTTATAATTACTGAAAAAAAAATATTTTTGGAGACAAATATTTTCTAAGTTCATATTGACTAATTTATATAGAGTTATATAGAATTGATAGTAATTATTCACATTTACCATTAAATTTATTTTGATTATTTAACTATCTTATGTGTTTTATATAAATATTTAAATATAATAGAGTGATAATTTGGTAACTTTTTATTTTATTTAAAATGTTGTGATTATAAATTCAATTTGTTGGTAAAAAAACATTAATAAACTTAGATGAATATACTTAATATTATTTAATCTAAAAACATTTTGAAGAGAAAGTTGAAACATTCCCTCTCTTCACTTCCCTTTAATACAAGATTTGCCTGTATAAGTAAGCACACATCATCTCTTTACTTGTTCCCTGAGATATTGCTCCCTCTATTTTCTATGATGGAAGAAGAATCAGTAACTCAAGAACTCCGTCTTCACGTCAATGGAGGTAAGTAGTTTAATCCCTACAGGTTCAATCACTCAAACCATGATAGAGCATCTTCTGTTCCTGTTTTTTACTTATGTGATTTTTCTGTTTCATATGTTGATGTCAGAACCTGGAGGCAAATTTTCCACTTTCAATAAACAGAGAAGTCACAGCTACTCATGGAGGTTAAGAGTGTCTCTCTACGTGTTTCTCCTCTTAGCTGGCGAGACAATAGCCACTCTCTTAGGTAGACTTTACTACGACAAAGGAGGCAACAGCACATGGCTCGAGACCTTGGTTCAGCTTGTTGGGTTTCCTTTAACCATTCCTTGTTATTATTTCATAAAGCCAGAGCCTTCCAAGAGTAAATCCATCACCAAAGAAACTACTCCTTCCTTCTTGACCCTATCTTTAGTGTATATTGGACTTGGCTTGCTTGTTGCTGGACAGAGTCTTTTATACTCTTGTGGATTACTCTACCTTCCTGTCTCAACATTCTCTTTGATCTCTGCGTCGCAATTGGCTTTTAATGCAATCTTCTCTTACTTTTTCAACTCACAAAAGTTCACACTTTTTATACTCAACTCGCTTGTCTCTTGACCATATCTTCAACACTTCTTGTCATCCAACCTGATCATGAATCTTCTATTTCTGAGTCCTCTGCCAAATACAACTATGTGATTGGATACATCTGCGCGATTTGTAGCTCAGCCGGGTATTCTCTGGTGCTTTCTTTAATGGATTACGTGTTCGAAAACGTTCTAAAGGAAAGCAGTTTCAAGAAGATTTTAGATATGGACAGATACCCTTCTTTGGTAGCAACTTGTGCAGTTTTGGTTGGACTTTTTGCAAGTGGTGGGTGGCAGATGCTGAGGACAGAAATGGAAGAGTTTAAACTTGGGAAAAGCTCTTACATTTTGATAGCTCTTGGTTCAACAGTATCATGGCAAGCTTTTTCCATTGGTAGTTTGGGTTTGATTCTTGAAATTTCATCGCTCTTCTCAAATGTCATAGGCACTCTTGGTTTACCAGTTGTTCCTATTCTTGGTGTTGTGTTCTTCAAAGAAGAAATGAGTGGAATCAAGTTGATTGCGATGGTTTTGGCTATATGGGGATTTGTTTCTTATGCTTACCAGCATTATATTGATGATCGGAAACCGGAAGAAGTAGATCATGAGAAAGAAGAAGAGCAAGAGTTTCTTCAACTTGAAGAAGAAGAAGCAAAACAAGATAACAGTCATAACCAAGCTTAGACAAAAGATCCAAAAACCATTGCAAGCTTTAATAAGTTTGAGCCAACTTTTTTGATTCAAGTTAAAATAGTTATATATCGAACATGGCCTATATTGTAGACACCATAAGAAAACTGGAAACTTATTAAATATTGTCAAGTGTAGTCAACGCTTCTCTGTTGACGTCTGAACTAGAAGATGCCTAGAAAAAAAAATTCAAGACAGAAAGGACATTTAAGTTAAAAAAAAAATTCAAGTAGAGACTTTAAGTATTAAGACTAGACTGAGGGAAAACAAAACAAAGACAACCCAATATTAACAACACCCACTGTTTAAAAAGGTTTCAAGAATTCCAAGAAAACTCAAAGTCAACACTAAAACTAAAACTCTGTTCTCTTTAAATATGTCATGGAAAGATCTCAAGAACTCTATGGTTTTGTTCAAGTGAGTTAATAATTTCAACGTCATGCAATGTTAAAACGGGTTTTAATCCGACGGTAATACTTACAAGTTACAACTGACGTGACTACGAATATAACCGACGTTAGATGCCTTAATTATTTCTTGTATTGATTCCGTTCGGTCCAGTATTGAAATTTTTGGGGTTTAGGGATGATCTTTCATCGGATTCAATAATCTCATGGAGCAATAGCAACACGAGTTTTATCTCTAAGCTTGACCATTTGTGTAAGTTTTTGCATATTGCAAGATTATCTCCGACTTTAGAATAATCGTCTCTCTCATGCAGTTTTAAATGAATATTGGTTGCTCCCTGTGGTAGGGATTTGAAAGAATTAAGGAGACTGAACATTTGGAAAATGGACATAAGAAATACTTTGTGAGAGGAGCTTTAGAAGACGATGCTTGTCAAAAGAGCGATGAGCTAGGATGAAGCGAAAATCTAAAGAAAAGAAAGCTAAAGCGGAAGTACATAAACGCTTGAATGATTTACTAATTAAATGATCAGAACCTTCATCATGAAATAAAACTTTGCATCAGTTTGTTTGCTTATATTGTATCAATACTTAGTGGTTTTTTTTTTTTTTTTGGTTTTTGGTTAAATTACGACGTAATTAATAATACTATTTTGTATTTTCCCTCATAAAACTAGTATTCTATAAACCACTGGTCCACTGGTTTGGAAAGATGGAGATCAGGATTGTTGAAAGAGAAGAGGAAGAAATATAAAAAAAGTCTCTTCATCTCCAAAAGGATTCAACCCCAAGATCTTGCCACTTACTGTAAGATTGCTGGTTAAAATAGACAATTGTAGTAATTGGAATATATCTTCAATTGTTACAAAACAATTTGCTTTCTTATAAACATGAACTGAAGCGGTCAATTACGTACACAACACAGATTACACAAATGTTGCCAAGTTAATATAACATGCGAACATATTCACCGCCTTTTCTTGTCGTGTTTTATCTGCACCGTTGATTTTTGATACTTTAACAATTCACAACCGTAGAATCTCTCAAGAAAAGATCCGAAATCTTAAACCGACTCTGATTTCTGGGTTTTACTCGGGTTATATAAAAACGGGTCGACTTATTTATCTCTTATCTTTATCACAATCGCCCGCCGCCGATCGCTTCTGCCGTTCTGCGACCTCTTTTTTTTTTTTTTTTTTTTTTTATGTAAGTTTCGCTTTAAACTCCGAATATTTTCCTCAGATTCTTCGTTTCCTTTCTTCAATTACCTTTCGAATCACCTTCTTTCGACGATGATTTTTTTTTGTTAGGGTTACGGTTGACTCGATTCGTCTGACGTAGATCAGATCAATGTCAAACTCGATCGAGTTTTTTTGCGGCTTCTAATCGATTCTTGTCTTTCTCTAGGGTTTCTCAAATTCCTTGATTCTGTTTATCTGCCGTGTCTTGCGAAACTGGATTCCTGGAATTGACATCGTTGATGGGAACTTGCTTTTCGGTTTGGTATTCCTCTGCAGAGCGAGTCTGATCAATTCTCGTTGATCATGCTTGCCAAGGAAGCATCTTGGGTCCGAAAATCTTCTGATTGCGTTCTCTGTTTCTGCACGGATTTGTTTGGGCTTCCAAACTGAGATAGAGAAACAAAACATGTATGAAAAAAATAACAGAGAGAGGGGATCTGTATACGACCTTTGCCATGACAGGTGCGCTTGCTTGGCAGGTCTAAACCCTAAATAATATGCTTCTTGCATAACATTCACATGCTGCTTGCATACCACAAAGAGTATCTTACTCTTTTATCTGCTTCTTGCATTCCATTCATATGCTACTTGCATACTGTTTTATATGCTGCTTGCATAATCTTTTATATGCTTCTTGCATACTTGACAAAGAGTTCTTGCTCTTTTATATGCTGCTTGCATTCTCTTTTATATGCTGCTTGCATACTGTTTTAGATGCTTCTTGCATATTGTATTACATGCTTCTTGCATACTTGACAAAGAGTATCTTGCTCTTCTATATGCTGCTTGCATATTGTACTATATGCTTCTTGCATAGTTGACAAAGAGTGTCTTGCTCTTCCATATGTTGCTTGCATATTGTACTATATGCTTCTTGCATACTTGACAAAGAGTGTCTTGTTCTTCCATATGTATCTTGCATACCATAAGTGCAAACCGGGAAGAGAATCTCTGACCCAATATTGAGCTATCAGTTGTGCCCTGTAATATGTTTCTTGCTTGAGAGAATCGCAAACCTGACATTGAGCCTCCAGTGACGAAAACAAAGGTAATGATTTTATGCTTTCTTAATCGGTAGAGGGTTTGAGCTGTTAATCCTTTTCAGTAACATGATGATTATATTTCTGTGAAAACAAACGGTGAAAGTGGAATCTAGTTAATTTGTATATGTTGTTGAGGAAGCTGGTGTGATAAATCTGACCTTTTTGGCAGAATTCTTTTTCAAGTTCGAATTGGCATTTTTTTGGACATAATCGATCCCATGTTTTGGCTGATGTATGTGTATGTGTTGTGTGGTAATATAGCTATGCTTGCAATTGGTGTTGTTACCCGCGAGATATCTGAAAAGTGACGTGTACCAAGAATTATGCATCTTCAAGCGTTGTTCTGTTTCAGAAAACTTCAAAAGAGTCTTCTCCAGTTTCTCAATGTCTCTTGACAAGTAGGACAGTGGAATCTGAATCTAAACAAGCTGAAGATTTGTATCTTTGTGGATTTGTAGGATTGTAGGTTGTGTTTAACATGTATAGATCATTTCAACTCTTGTAATAGAATATGACTTGATATTGAAAGGCATAAAGGCCGAAACTTCAGTAAACGAGTTATGAGTTCATTTATCTGCAGGAAAGTAAACACATAAACCATTGCAAGCTTTAATAAGTTTGAGCCAATTTTGTTTTTATCTAAGTTAAACAGTTGTATATTGTAGACACCATAAGAAGTTGGAAACTTGTTAAATATAGACACCATTGCAAGCTTCTCTGTCTTTTTCATATATCTGTTGACATCTGAACTAAAAGATGCCTAGAAAAAAAACTTCAAGACGGAAAGGAAATTTAAGTTAAAATAAATTAAAGTAGAGGCTTTAAGTATTAAGAGCTCAAGACCGAAAGGAAAAGAAAACAAAGACAAGCCTATTATTACCAACCCCCACTGTTTAAAGGTTTCAAGAACTCCAGGAAAACACAAAGTAAACACTAAACCAAAACTCTGTTCTTCTCAGAGCTGTCATGGAAAGATCTAAAGAACTCTATGCCAATGGTAAGCAAAAAACACCTATTACTGGTGTTACCTTCCCTTTGAAAAGATGTAGATCATTCAAAGAATATGAGTGTTGACTTTTATTTATTGAAAACGTTCTTTATGATGTTTCAGGTAAACAGAACTTAGAGGCAAACCTGATATATCAGGAGGTAACAGAATCATCATCAGTACCACAAACCAAGAAGTACAAGAAATGGCTCAGTATCTCCATTTATGTATTCTTTGTCCTTACCTGCCAAGCAGTTTCTACAATTCTGAGCAGACTGTACTATGAAAATGGTGGAAAGAGCACCTGGTTGGTAACGCTTGTCCAGCCCATTGGCTTCCCTCTTTTGTTGCTCTTTCGCTTCTTCTCACAAGCCGAAAAAACTGATCAAAGTTGCAGATACTTCGCTTGCTTCACCACTCTTGGATCAGCTAACATTTGTCTTGGACTCTTAGGATCCGCTATCGCTTATATCTCCTCTGTTGGGTTGCTTTACTTACCTGTTTCTACTTTCTCCCTAATCTTTGCTTCGCAGTTAGGCTTCACTGCCTTCTTCTCATATTTCCTCAACTCCCAAAAGTTCACTCCTTTTATCATCAATTCTCTGTTTCTCCTTACTGTTTCCTCTGCACTTCTCGTGTTCAACGATGAGTCGCAGAACGCAAGAAATGTGTCTAGCTTAGAATATATGATAGGCTTCATATGCACCATTGGTGCTTCTGCTGGGAGTGGACTTATACTATCTCTCGAACAAGTAATCATCAGGAAAGTTTTGAAGAAGCCTACCTTCTCAGCAGTCATAGACATGGTTATTTACCAGTCTCTAGTTTCAAGTTGTGTTGTGCTGATGGGACTTTTTGCAAGTGGGGAGTCGAAAACTTTGACAAGTGAGATAGAAAGCTACAGACTTGGGAAGGTATCATACGTTGTGAATTTGGCCTCTGCTGCTCTATCTTCGCAAGTCTACACTATTGGTGTTGCCGGATTGATCTTTGAATCGTCTTCTGTGTTCTCCAATACCATATCTGCTGTGGGATTGCCTATTGTGCCAGTGGTAGCTGTGATAGTTTTCAATGATAAAATGGATGCATCTAAGATCTTCTCCATCATTTTAGCTATATGGGGTTTCCTTTCATTTGTTTATCAGCATTACCTTGACGAAAAGAAGTTGAAGTCTTGCCACACAAGCCTTGTCTAGGAAGAAGATACACACGCTTGATGAAAAGCCAAAAAAAGTATATCTTTCTTTCATTGCAACAAAGCTTTAGGCCTATCTTGTTGTATTGTATCTTTGTTGACTTCTTAATTTACATCAATGGATATTATGCCAAACATTCCTCTTAGAGCCGCACGCCATGGAAAAAAACTCATGAAATATATGGCATTGGTGAGCAAGAAGCATCTCTTAGTGTAGATACCATTGATACAACTGATTATTTTGATGAAATATGCTGTTCCTTTATGTTTTCAGCAATTTTTGCGGAGGAAAATGATGAAGTTCCATCGCTTTTGTCAAATGTTATAGGAACTATTGGTTTACATGTTGTTCCTATTTTTGGTGTTTTGTTCTTCGGAGAAGAGATGAGTTGAATCAAGTTGATTGAGATGATTTTGACAATATTGGGATTTGTGTCTTCTGCTTACCAGCATTATGTCGATGATCGAAAACCAAACCAGACGAAGTATATCAGGAGAAAGAAGAAGAGTAAGAGCTGTAAAGTACAAGCGGAAGAAGAAGAAGCACAACAAGACAGTCATATAAGCTTAGACAAAAGATCCAAAAATCATTGGAAGCTTTAATAAGTTTTGAGCCAATTTATATCTAAATTAAACAGTTTTATATTGTAGACACCACTAGAAAATTGGAAACTTATTAAATATTGTCAAGTGTACTTAAGGCCTCTGTGGCTTTTTTGTATTTTTGTTGACGTCTGAATCCACCTAAAAGATGCCTAGAATAAAAAAAAAATCAAGACGCAGAGGAGATTTAATTTTAAAAGAATTCAAGTAAGACTATTAAATACTAACAACACCACCATATGAGGGTTTCAAGAACTTCAAGAAAACTCAAAGCCAACGTCAAACTAAAATTCTGTTCAACTTAGAACTATCATGGAAAGATCTCAAGAAATCTATGGAAAAGGTAAGTAAAAAAAGCAAATAGTAATGTAGATTTCTTTAAAAAGCATTTGAAAAACATGTAGATCATTTGATTATTTTTTTGAAAAAAAGGTGTTGACTTTTGTTTCATCTAAAATGTTCTTTATGATGTTTCAGGTGACCAGAATTTAGAAGCGCACCTAATTGATCGGGAGGTAAGAGAATCATCATCATCATCAGTATCGGTACCTCAAGCCAAGAACTATAAAAAGTGGCTCACTATCTCTGTATATGCATTCTTGGTCCTTACCTGCCAAGCACTTACTACAATTCTGAGTAGATTGTACTATGAAAATGGTGGAAAGAGTACATGGATGGTAACGCTTGTCCAACGAATAGGCTTCCCTGTTCTGTTGCTATTTCGCTTCTTTCCACAAGATGAACAAGAACAAGAAAAAACAGATCCAAGTGTCAGATACTTCTTTTGCTTCACCACTCTTGGATTAGCTTACATTTTTAATGGACTCTTAGGATCTGCTGTCTGTTATACGTCCTCAATTGGGTTGCTCTACTTACCAGTTTCCACTTACTCCCTCATCTTTGCTTCACAGTTAGCCTTCACTGCTTTCTTCTCATACTTCCTTAACTCCCAAAAGTTCACTCCTTTCATCATCAATTCTCTGTTTCTCTTAACTGTTTCCTCTGCCCTTCTCGTCTTCAACACTAAGTCACAGAACACAGGAAATGTGTCTAGAGTAGAATATGTGTTAGGCTTCGTATGTACCATCACTGCTTCTGCTGGACTTGGACTGTTATTATCTCTGGTACAACTAATCCTCAGGGAAGTTTTGAAGAAGCCTACCTTCTCAGCAGTCATAGACATGGTTGTTTACCAGTCTCTAGTTTCAAGTTGTGTGATTCTTATAGGACTTTTTGGGAGTGGAGAGTGGGAAACTTTGTCAAGTGAGATGGAAAGCTACAGACCTGGGAAGGTGTCATACGTTATGACTTTGGCCTCTGCTGCTATTTCCATGCAAGTCTACACTATTGGTGCTGTGGGATTGATCTTTAAGTCATCTTCTGTGTTCTCTAATTCTATTTCTGCTGTGGGGTTGCCTATAATACCAGTTGTAGCAGTGATTGTTTTCAATGATAAAATGGATGCATCGAAGATCTTCTCCATCATTTTAGCTATTTGGGGCTTCCTTTCATTTGTCTATCAGCATTACCTAGACGAAAAGAAGTTGAAGTCTTCCCACAAAAACCTTGTCAAGGAAGAAGAAGTTTCACAAGCTTGATGATTAGCAAAAGAAGCATCTCTTTTCTTTCAGTGCAATAAAACTTATTAAATTTCAAGTGTACTTATGGCCTCCCTTGTTTTGTTGTATTGTATATTTTTTGCCTTCTGAAACACGTTTCACTATACTCAACCTATTTTATCAACGTTGTGTGTAGGGAGTAGAGCCGCCAGTTAAAAGTTTTCAAGAATTAAAGAACTCTATGTCAATGGTAAGCAAGAAGCATCTCTTTTCATGAACTATGGTAACCATGAGTGGTGTTTCTTTATGTTTTCACAAATTTTCCCTTAGGAATATGCTGAAAAAAATGATGAAGTTTCATCGCTTTTCTCAAATGTTATAGGAACGCTCTTGGTTTACCTGTTGTTCCTATTCTTAGTGTTTTTTTTCTTCCAAGAAGAGATGAGTGGAATCAAGTTGGTTGCAATGATTTTGGCTGTATGGGGATTTGTTTCTTATGCTTACCAGCATTATGTCAATGATTGAAAACCAGAAGAAGTAGATAAGGAGAAAGAAGAAGACCAAGAGCTTCTTCAACCTGAAGAAGATGTAGAAGAAAATTATATAACAGTCATATCCAAGCTTAGAAAAAAGATCCCAAAACGGCAAAACCATTTGCAAGCTTTAGTAAGTTTGAGCCAATTTTAATCTAAAGTAAACAGTTATATAGTGTAGACACCACCATAAGAAAATTGGACACTTGTTAAATATTGTCAAGTGTAGTCAACGCTTCTCTGTCTTTTTCGTATGTTGACATTTGAGCTGATAGATGCCTAGAAGAAATAAATTCAAGACAGAAAGGAAATTTAAGTTCCAAAAAATGCAAGTAGAGACTTAAGTATTAAGACAAGAATGAGGGAAAGGAAAACAAAGACAAGCCTATATCAACAACTCACCATTTAATGGTTTCAAGAACTACTCCAAGAAAACTCAAAGTGAACACTTAACAAATACTCTGTTCTTCTTAGAGATGTCGTGGAAATTTTTCAAGAAGAACTCTATGGGAATGGTAAGAAAAAAAGCACATATTAGTGTTGTAGACCCTTTTGAAAAGCATCTGAAAAGATATAGATCATTAAACAAAAAGTATGAAAACCATTGCAACTTTGCAAGCTTTAATAAGTTTGAGCCATTAACTTGTTAAATTCTTTAACAAAAAAACTTATTAAATTGTGTAGTGTAAGTTGTCGTGTCTACAATATATAACTGTTTACTTTACAATATATAATAAGTTTCCAATCTTTGGAGGTAGGAGCTAGAAACAAAAAATTGTCGTGTGAGGGACTTTTTTTTTTTTTTTTTAATCTAGAAACAAAAAATTAAAAATTGATAGTTAAAATTAAATAAAGCCAAACCTTGCAGAGCTGCTTTTCAAGTGTAAAACGTTCTGTCAATCGGAGAAGGTTTTTGGTGACAAATGGATTGTGAAAGTGATGATTTAATGTGGTGAAGATGCTGAATTTATAAGGTTTTTTTTTTAAGTTTATTATTAATTTTAATGTGAAAATTACCAATTCTAGACCACAATTTGATTTTTTCTAGTCAACTAGACCACAATTTGAATCAAATGCAAAACTAACCTCTTTGGGTAGTAAAATTACCCCACAAGCCCTCATGACCAAACAAAAAAACGCATGCCTCGATTACGATTATAACCTCCGGAGCATGTAGATCTACTTGGTAGACAATGTTAGAGGTCTACCTCGTAATAACATCTTAAATTTTAATTAACAATTAAATAAAAAATATTTTTATACAAACACAAGTATGAATAATTCTAATATAGACATTATCATATACAAAAAATATGAATGCATACAAATGAATGATTTATAGATAAGCAAAGACATATAGGTTAATATCTATAAAATGTGTGAGGTCTACCGAGTAAGTCTACTATGTCATTAAAATTTAATTTTAATTATAAAAATTGAAAAAAAAATATTTTGATGAAAATTATTTATACATAAATACAATACAGACAACTTGCATCTATATAAAATATAATTTCATAGATTTGAACCAATTGAACTATAAAAAACAAAAATTAGGTTAAAAGCCTATAAAAACCATGAGAGGTCTACCAAGTAAGTCTACTAAATAATTAAATCTTAAATTTAAATTAAGAAAATTGTAAAAAATAATTTGAAATATTTGTTTCACAAATAACGAAATAATAGACATTTCACATCTATTAAAAATTAAATTTCATAAGAAATCATGAATCTATAAATATCATATGTAAATAGTTCATAAGGATAAGAGTTTGAGTAGATTGTTTAGGAGTTAATGGGGAGAGTTGTAGGGTTTTGAAAAATTTTAGATGAAGAATTGTTTTTGGTTGGTTTTACGATTCAATGTTTGTTTATTTGTGATATACACTGTAAATTGACAATATGGCAAGCAAATCGTTGCAAAATTGTATCTAAATTATTCGATTTAGGGTTTAGGGTAAAGTAGACCTAACAAGTAGACGGATCGCGTAGACCGAAGTGGAGGTCTACCAACCGTTTTAACCTAGCGGGAATCCCGAAGTTTCAAAGCGACGGCTGAGATTGAAACGACGTTTCGGTAATTTCGTGGTAGACCGTAACGGTATACCTAAGCCGGAAATAACCGACTCAATTGTTTGCGTAGAACCGTAAATTGAACGGCTGAACCGATATTAATTGAAATAACCGGCTAATTTCTTGGTTCAAACCGATATAACGAAACCAGTTAATCGAACCGACGTATATAAAGCGGTTTTAACCCTGAGCAGTTAATTTCTAGGTTTTGTTAGAACATTGCGAGTCGGCGCTCTCCAGAGGCGATTTCAGGCGATTTCCGTGTCCGACGCCGTTTGCTCCGCCGCTATTCCTTTTCCGACCCGCTATTCCGTTTCCGACGCCGTTTGCTCCGCCTCTGTTTGATTACGCCGGTAATATCTCCGCCCTATACCTCGCCCTATACCCCTAGTGTCGTTAATCTATCTCCGCTCAGTCATCTAACCGTTTTATTGTTCATATTTGGTCCGCCGTCTGGTGAACTCGTCGCCGTTGTCTAACAGAATCGGAGCGCTCCACATCGATCCCATTTCCCGGTAGTAACTCCGTCACTCACTCCTCTTTCTTACCATTTTCGCTTTGTATAACCACAAATAACCTCACCGCCGAATTCATGTGTCGTTTTTGTAGTTAGATCTCGTCCAAGATATCGTTCCTGGTGCTTTGCGATAAGCGCTTAGAACTGTCGTCGTCGTCGAGAGGTACAACAATCTATAACATAACCTCTACAACTCATATATGTCTTTCTTCTTCGTGATTCGGTAGATTTCGTTTAGGGTTTAGAGTAGACCTTCGTAGTAGACCTTCGTTTTTGCCTTCGTTTTTGCCTTCTTTGATTTTCCTTTTATGTTCGTTGCAGAATGAAGAAGCCTACCTTTCCAAGGAGGTTATACACAAGAGGGGCTGAACCGGAAGCCCAAAAGAGCATCTCCTACGGCAGCAACGACAAAAAGCTATTTGCTGCCGTGAAAAAACTACTGAGTGATGCCGAGTGGGAAACACTATGCGACTCGCGAGTTGGTGTCTTCTGCAAGTTTCACGACCTCGACTTCGTGGTCTTCGAAGTTGGTCCACACGATGCTCTCATATCAGTTAGAGTGCAAGAAGAAGTATGAGATCTGGGTTGCGGTTGCGGATAGCCCAATTAGATTTTCCCTCCATGAGTTTGAGCATCTCACCGGCCTCAACTGCGACTATGTGGAAGATATTGATGACCCCAAGTGCAAGGTTACTCTAGAGATGAGAGCATTCTGGGAGAAGCTCGGAGTAGATGTTGAGCTTGGTCCGAGTCAAGTGGAGATCATTCGTGCATGCGAATGGGCAACAGACTGGCCGAGTGAGGACAAACTTAGGCTTGGTTACTTGGCCATCTACACTGGCTTCATTGCTGCTCGGAAAAACACCTCGCACACTCCTGTCAACCTGGCCAGATTAGTGATGGATGAAGAGGAGTTTGAGAATTATCCGTGGGGGCGTGTAGCTTTCAAGAACCTGATCGAAGCCGTCAAAGAAGCAGAGCTATGGAAGTCCGGGTATGTCCTGGATGGGTTTGTTGAGGCTCTACAAGTATGGGCATATCGTTTCATGCCTGAATTCGGAGCGGGTTGTGGTGCGCCCATACGAAACGCTCCTGACATTCCGCTCTTGTCCTACAAAGGAGTCCAGGGTCTAAGGAACATTGAACTCACGATACTGAAGCAGGTACGATACTGAACTCACGATAGTAGCAGTAGACCATTATGGTAGACCATTATGGTAGACCTATTTATTTACTTTCCCTTTCGTGTGTAGGTGAACTTTGATCACTGCATAATGGTGGAGAGAGACTTCGTTTACCCAAAGTGGGATGAGGATAAGGAAGACCCGCGTGTAGATGAACTCATCAACGCGCTGTATGGAGACCTGGGCCGGTGGAGGTGGAAGCCGGCGGACTGGAATCCTCAAGGTGTTCTGGTGAAGAATCCTATACCCCCGGAGTCTGCGAAGAGGAAAAGAGCCTCTGCCCTGGAGATGAAATGCAGAAGAGGCAGTGTCCTGAGAGCGTATCCTCTGCTGAAGATGGCTTCAGTCGCTTCGAGGAGAAGATGAAGGTTCTGTTTGAAGATGGCTTCGGTAAGTTGTCTGCGGCGATGAAGTCTGGCTTTGAACAGTCTGATTCCAAGTTCACCATCCTGACTAGGAAGGTGATCCGCATAGAAAAAACAGTCCAGTCTATGCAAGCAGCATCAAGGCGTCCAAACACCGAACCTGTGGAACCTGACGCAGATAATGAGAAGAACGAGCCGTCTGTTGAAGATGGTCGAGCCGAGGAGAAGGCTGCGAAGGATGCTGCTGTTTCGGAGAAGGATGCGAAGGATGCCACTCCCAGGAAGGATGCTACAGTCTCGGAGAAGGATGCCACTCCCAAGAAGGACGAGTCGTCAGGTGAAGAGGAGGAGGAGGAGGCTGACATCG